GAAAGAGCAAACGACATAAATGGACACAAATAAATTAAATCAACATAAATCGAAAAAAAATCAAATACACGACAAAGTCGATTATTAGAAGAAGAGAAATAAATAAATAAATAAATCACCAGCCACGTGGCAATTTAGGAGCTGTTGCTGATTCTAACGGCGGCTACAAATGCGCACAGGCAAAGTTTTGAAGAGCGAAAGCTATCAACGAGAAAGGAGGTCGGCATTTTTCTAATTCTCTCTCTCTCTCTCAGTATCACAGTCTATCTCTCATCTCTCTCTCTATCCATCTATTTCTCTCATATGATCTGTATCTTTTGGATAAAGATACGATTTTGATGCAAATATATACGTGTATAATTTGTGGGTATGTATGGGAGGCAGCTCGGATTGATTGATTCTTCGGGAAACGCGTTGTAGCTGTTCAAATTGGAAGCCGATTACCGAGCTCGCCCTGTTCATTTTCATAAAACTCCAAATCCATACGGTTTCAGTATCGGTCAAACGTAAGCTGACCCCCCACCCCCTTTTATTTCAAAATTTCCCTTCGATTTTGTCGTTTTTTCAAGCATTCTTGTCCCTTCTCGATCTTGCTCTCATTTTTTTTTGTTGGATTTGAGTTTGAGCCCTCTATCTGTTCGGATCAGTGTTCATATTTGATATTCGTATGTAGGGAATAATGATTAGTTTGGTAAAGGGTTGGTGTTTCTATAAATCCTTGATGGGTGAGCATTTGGTTTCTGGTTAGTGGTGAAGCTGGAGTGGAGGAGAGGAAAAGTCAATCCATTTGTGAAGGGAATAAGAGCGAGGCTAAGGCCAAAAGGGATGCCCTTGAGCGCCGTCCGTGATGGCTATGGATCATCCCGTATCATTTTGACCGAGCCGGGCGGATCAACTGCTGAGGTTCGATTGTTTCACACGTTCTCTCCTCTAACTTTGTTGCGACTCCGAGTTTGGTTACTAGGAAGATTGGTGTCTCTTGAATTTGATCATCAGATGATGTGTAGTGGACCGCTGTGGAAGGATAACTAATGAAATGCTGGTGACCCGAGAATATTGGAAAAAAAGGGGTCTTTTTCAATGATTTTCAATTTGAATCTTGGTTGGAGGGTTTTGGTTGTAGTAGTTTGTTTGATTTATATGTATTGATGTTATTATCAAATTAAGGATGTGCATTTTTATGATGGTTGAATCTCGGTTGCCCTCTGATCGCATGAACCGGTGGTAGTGATGAAAACTTGGTGGTGAGCCTGAAAACTGAAAGTTGTTGGCTGGTAATGGTTTCAGGTGCTTCTCTACGGAGGACAGGTGGTTTCTTGGAAAAACGAAAGGAGGGAGGAGCTACTTTATATGAGCAGCAAGGTAAAATGGCTATGGAATTAGTGGCCTTCGCAACCGGGCAAGTTGTTTCAGATTCCTCTGGATGTTTGTATATTCACTGGGTATTGTTGCAGGCTCTATGGACGCCGCCTAAGGCAATCAGGGGAGGGATACCTGTCTGTTTCCCACAGGTCAGGCATCTAATAACATTCAAGGTGATCGACAAACGCTTTCATAGTGCCTTCATTCGGTTACTGCAATGGTATTGTTTTTTTTTTCAGTTTGGAAATCTTGGCACGCTTGAGCGGCATGGATTCTCCCGGAATAGAGGGTGGTCGTTTGACAATGATCCTTCACCTCTGCCTCCTCCTAACCGGCAATCGACTGTTGATTTGATATTGAGGTCTACTGAAGACGATCTGAAGATATGGCCTCACAGGTGCGTGTGTCAGAGAGTTTTCTTCTGCTAACCAAATCGAGTCCAAAAATATAAATTCTGGTTGGACATGGTTCTTCTACGTTTTGGATGTCTTGCCATCACAGTTATGTTTTGTTTTTGTCCGTCTCTGGGCTAATCATGCAGTTCCCTTGTGGTGTTGTTGTTGCAGTTTTGAACTTCGTCTTCGCATTTCTATCAGTCCTGGGACACTTACTTTGATCCCTCGCGTGAGGAATACGGACTCAAAGGCATTTTCCTTCATGTTTGCACTCCGTAACTACTTATATGTATCCGACATAAGGTTTGTCTACCATCTCCATTCCTCTGTCTTTTGTTTTTGAGGCTGTATGCTGTTGTTATTCAGAAAGCTACTGATATCGTTGGGTTTTAGGCTCCTCTGTCTCTCTGATATCAAATAAGATGTTTAGACTCTTTTTACCGACTTTCCTCTCTGTACTATCACGTGGCATCGGATTTGCAGTGAAGTTCGGGTAGAAGGCTTGGAGACACTTGATTACCTCGACAATTTGGTGGGTAGAGAAAGATTTACAGAGCAGGCAGACGCGATTACGTTTGATGGTGAGGTAGGTGATATGCATGCCTTTCCTTGTGTTCTGCTTATAAAAGCGAAAGTGGTGTATATATCATTCAGTTCCTTCGTTGCAGATAGATAGAGTGTACTTGAACGCACCTACAAAGATTGCCATGATAGACCATGAGAGAAAGAGAACCATTGAGTTGCGAAAGGAAGGCATGCCCCACGCAGCCGTGTGGAACCCATGGGACAGAAAGGCAAAGGCAATAGCGGATATGGGGGATGAGGACTACAAAACAATGCTTTGCGTGGATTCTGGTGCCATTGAAACCCCCATATCCCTGAAGCCCGGAAGAGTGGAAAGGCCGGCAAGAACTCTCCATCGTATCCTCCAGCTACTGCAGCGGGCAGCTGGACCCTCGTAAGGTTCTTTACGGATATGCCTGATCTTTCAGATGATGAGAAATGCCGTGCATCATCTCCATCATAAACTACATATATAATACGCATACGATTGTTGGGAGCTATCGTTACACAGACCGAGCAACTATGGTATATAGGAACGTTGAATTTGCTACTTTGTGTAGTCCATATGGACATCTTCGTACATAATTATGCCCCTCGATCATATTGAATCATTTGATCTAAGAGACGATTCTATTCGTTCTTAGAAACATCATTGAGATATCCGTCATACCAAAAAAATAAAATCACAGAGATATCTGATGGGAACATAAGAGTAGAGGGGAGATTCCAAATTTCTATTGGGCTTATTTGTCATAACCAGATGCATACATGCTCGCGTGGGCCATGAAGGGTCAAATGGACATGGCTGTGGAAATCATATCCCTACCAACCATTTGCATTTCTTAAGCATGCATGCATGCATATGGCTCCCAGCATGAACCGGCTTCAGGTTTAAAAAAAATTCGCCGTTGCCGGGGATCGAACCCGGGTCACCCGCGTGACAGGCGGGAATACTCACCACTATACTACAACGACTTGGTTGTCTGGTTTGGCTATATTTAATTATTTCCCAGTCTAACGTTCTCTTCTCGGATAATAAAATAAAATTAGCTATACTTATTGTGGAAGTCTGACAAAATGTGAATTCTGGAATATGAGCTTTCAACGATCCACTTTATGGTTTGAATAATATTTTAATCAATAAAACAAGGGCCAGTAGAATTACGGAGAATTAAAAGGTGAATTATGAGTTTAGCTTGGGGAGCAAGGTAATCTGTCCCTACCCAAGACATTCGTATTTACCAAATTACCACTGGGCTCGATTCCCCAAGTGCCCAAGTGCTTATGTGTTGCACAGAACGTAAGACCCCAGGTTCGTGTCCGAGCCGAATAACCTCGGGTAAAGGCGTTTGTTTGAGTGTCAAGCTGGGTCAACCGAGGTTGAGGATTTTCAATTGTGTTCTTGAGAAGCTACTCCCGAAGATTAGGTCTGGAGTAGACGAGCCTATCATAACTGCACTTCCCGCTCATACACACTCGCTCTCTCTCTACCTCCCGTTTTTTCTTCACGCGTTCTCTCTCTCTCTATTAGTCCTCTTGACTTAGCCTAGTGGAGAACCAAAAAACACAAGCTCTCTCTCTCTCCATCCCTCTGTGTCGGATTCAATGGCGAGGTAATCTAGAACCCAAACCCTAGATTTTGATGATACGATTTCAGTTAGACCTCCTTCGCCTGTTCGCCGAAGCTACGCAGCGTTTGGTTTCCTCTGAAAAGATTTCATCTTTGGCCGAGAATTTTAAAATGTCGATTTTTTTCATGGGCTATATGATCATCATTTATCTGGGAAGAAGAAAACGAAAAACTTTGCTTAAAATTTGCTCCGTTATATCATAATTTTAGCTGTTCTTCTCAACTTTTGGACATTCTTTTCTCGATTGAAGAAGCTGGAAAGTACCACGATATTCAGGAAACGCGTTCGTTCGATTCTTTTGTGTGAAAAATGAGATTCTGAGCTTCTTCACGCCTGCATTCATAGTTTTCCATTTTGATGTCAGCATAAGGGATGTTCTTACAGAATCTTGTTTGGTATAAGCAGGGCCTGGATTGTGGATGGGCCTGGGATTGCGATGAAAGTGAAGAATGCTTCTGTCTCAAAAGGCTCATACTAATACCGACACGCGCGCACGAGCCTACAACACACGTGATGTGAAATAAGCGAAGGTGGCGGGAATCTCCATACTCTGTGTTGAACCTACGACCTCGTTTACGACCTCGTTTACAGTACACAGACTTTCCCAAGCTAAACCTTTACCGAGACAAGTCGTCCAGTGTGAGAGATGGGGAAAAGATTTCGCAGCGGCGGTATTGGGGGCGGCGTTAATCGCAGATTCCTCAACGTCGTCATAGATTCTTACGGGAAGGATGTATCCGCAGAGGACATCGTTGACGACCTCCGCTCCAAGTACCGAGATTTTGGCCGATTGAGCCGACATGTCCTCCTGCTTCTTCCGACCAAAGACTGCGGTGCTTATATCGAATGCCCCAACTGCACTCATCGCATTGACAACACCAATGTCGGTTTAAAATGTGTTTCAATACAAAACACCAAGAGCTAAAATCCTGCTCTTAAACAATGGTTCAGAACCTTGTAGAGCATTATGAACCTGGTGAATGCTATAGTTACATACTGGGTTTTGTGGTTTTTGCTTCAGGTGCTGATGCCATGGCCAGGCCTACCAAAAGGGGTCAAATTTGAGCCAACGGACGAAGAGATCATTGAGCATTTGGAGGCTAAGTGTGGGATTGATGGATTAGAACCTCATGTGCTTCTCGAGGAATTCATCCGTCCCGTCACTGAAGATGTTGGAATCAACTACACTCACCCAGAAAATCTTCCAGGTAATGATATATCTCACTAACCATGAAATTGCTAATCTTGAAATTCTGGGTTGGAAGAATTCATTCCATCCTTGAACCTCTGCAATCTCCCTGGTTATAAGCCGATTTTGAAGTTCTGAAGCTGAAAATATCTGTCTATCTGATATTTGAGGTTCTTGATTAGGTGCTAACAAAGACGGAGTCAGCATCTTCTTCTTTCACAAGACGGTGCAGGCATATGGAACCGGACAAAGGAAGCGCAGACGGATCACACCCACCGGTCTGAACGACGAACCAGTTCGCTGGCACAAGACGGGCAGGACCAAACCAGTGATGCTAAATGGAGTCCAGAAGGGCTGCAAGAAGATCATGGTGCTGTACAAGAGCGCGAGGAAGGGATCGAAACCTGAGAAGTCGAACTGGGTTCTACACCAGTACCATCTGGGAACTGAGGGAAATGATATAGGAGAATATGTCATTTCAAAGATCAGTTATCAGCAGCAGAAGCATGGGGAGAAGAATGTGGGAGAAGAGGAAGTTCCTGAAGAGGGTGAGCATTCAAGGGCTCATGGCAGTCCGAGAACGCCAAATACGAAAACTCCTACTCCACCGAGACCTGTAAACACCATTTCTGGAGTTGGAGAAGCTTTCGATGCCACAAAGATGCTTGATCCGCTTGTTCAGGTTTGTTCCTTACGCTGCAAGTAACAGAGTGCATCTCTTTGTTTTTTTTTTCTCTCTAGACAATAAGTGGGTGTTTTGGGGTGAACAAGGGACTGGAGAACATTCCAGAAGCTTCTTCTGAGTCAACCTGGTCGGCTGGAGCTGTGGAGGATTCTAACATGAACCGTATCGAAGATAACTTGAAGTGCAAGGAACACATTGAGGACAATCCGACTTCTGGAGTTGAAAATGCCAACTTGTTCGGAGAACTTGAGCTTGAATCGGGAAACTTTGCGATTTCAGATCTGGAGAACGCAGATCTTGGATCCCCACCTGAATTCCTATCCGTAAGTTCCATTAAATCCCTTTGTTTTTCTGTCACATCAGACCAAAACAGAACCTAACGTTTGGATTGGGACTGGCAGTTAGCTTCTCAGGACAGTTTGCTAAATTGGCTGGGATGGCTGTGAAGATTCCTCGCAGCGAAATAAGAACCCTATCATGGCGAAGAAGAAGCATTGTAAATAAATAAAAGTATCCGCCTTTCAGCTGAAGCCGTGTTTCTCTGTTGTTTTTCTTCAGCAAGGCCTCGAGTGATCAGTTTCGGAGACACCCAGGGTTTTCCCCGATTTTCCCGGAATATTCACGGAATTTCCGGGAATCTTTGTTTATGGCACTCTTTTAAATCATTCCCAGAAACTGTTGATCGTTTGATTATTTTGTGGTTTTGTTTCATGTAATCAATGTTATGTTTTCTTTGTCGTTGAACAATTAGATAAATATTCTGCAAGACTGTAAGAAGAATCAAGTTTTACTTCCTAAAAAAAACATTTATTATGTATCTTTGAACTTTTGCTTGATGCTTATTTTAACCTTTTACTTTATGAAGATTACTTTAACCTTTTATTTTTGTCGCAATCTTTTTCCAAAGGTTAAAATCTTAAAGTGATGATTTTGGAAAATATATTATATATAACGATATGTATGTGTGTACTTTTTAGACAAGGATCCTTTGGAGCCGCCGAAGCTCTCTCTTCTGGGGTTTACTAAAGACCCAGACCTTTTTTTTTTGTTGATAATCGGTTGATCATAAGTAAAAAGGCTCATACTAATACCGACACGCGCGCACGAGCCTACAACACACGTGATGTGAAATAAGCGAAGGTGGCGGGAATCTCCATACTCTGTGTTGAACCTACGACCTCGTTTACGACCTCGTTTACAGTACACAGACTTTCCCAAGCTAAACCTTTACCGAGACAAGTCGTCCAGTGTGAGAGATGGGGAAAAGATTTCGCAGCGGCGGTATTGGGGGCGGCGTTAATCGCAGATTCCTCAACGTCGTCATAGATTCTTACGGGAAGGATGTATCCGCAGAGGACATCGTTGACGACCTCCGCTCCAAGTACCGAGATTTTGGCCGATTGAGCCGACATGTCCTCCTGCTTAATGTCCGACAAGTCCTCAATTCGAGGAACAGGCGAATGAAGGAAGACGAAGAAGAAGATAACAGCGGCGATGAGGGAGGTGTTGGCACGAGGAAGAAACAGAGGCGAGTCGATGAGAGAGAAGAGAAGTTGCAGCGGGCGGAGCAATCGCATCTTAGACGGCGAAAATCGGATCGTCTGATGTCCACGTCGTCCTCGGACTCGCCGTCGACGGAGTTTTCATCGCCTCGGACGCGGACGGCGGTGTCTCCACGTCGGAGGACGCTATATACTGCGAGAAGGTGACTTCGCAGTTCGATTTGATCAACGACACTCTACGAGATTCCTATGCTAAATTAAACAGAGCTTCTGTTAACTTTATGAGATTTACATCAAAAGCCATATTCAAGAACTTACAGAAAACAGAATATAAAACAAAAATAGAGGAAAAGAGGTAAATGGGAGCAAAAATATTTCTGTATTTTATTCCTTTTACCCTACTTCTTATATAGACAATCACATATACTCACACCATTATAATCACCAATACATGTAATAGTTTGTTATAATGACGTAACAAACACTAACAGAAAATATTCTCTAATATAAAAAATCCAATTGCGTCTTCTTCGCCTGTTGAGAAGAACGTTGAAGTAGAGGCAGTGAGCAACAAAGCGAGAAGCAAGATGGGAATCCCTAACAGAGAGGGAATAGGAGGAAGAAAGAGGTTAAGAGCTCTGTCTCTGTGAGTAGAGCCACTGGCAATGGTGATTTGGAGGTGAAGATAAACGAAGGGCCAATGTTCAAAAACTTTGGTGGTATCGAGAATATATTGGTTATCTGGATATGAATGTGTTATATTCAATGCTCCATCTTGATTTGGTGAGAGCCTTGGAGTGATCCCACCAGGTGGGATTCTACAAGATTTCAGCCACAGGTTGTCTCTGGCGTTTCTGGTATGATGAGACATAGCTACTCTCTTTCTGCATCCTAACTCTTAAGTCTGTTGGCAATGTTTGATGTCTTCTGTGTTATAAGTTGTAGGATTTAGGCTATAGTTGACATTTGCATTCTGTCACCGTGGGAACTGTCTGGTGTTCTTTGTTGTTTAATAATGCAATTCTGGTTCGGCTAAAAATTTCAGGTGCATCTGAAGAAAATATTAGAGAACTCTTCTCCAAAGCATATAGGACTGCGCCATCTGTCGTATTCATCGACGAAATAGATGCTATTGCGTCGAAGAGAGAAAACCAGCAGAGGGAGATGGAGCGACGGATAGTGACGCAGCTAATGACTTGCATGGACGAATCTATTAGGTATTTAAAGGCAAATGTTCAAAATTCTAATGAAGACGGATCTGATTCTAGGCCTCGTCATGTTCTTGTCATCAGAGCTACCAATAGGCCTGATGCTCTTGATTCTGCTTTGAGGAGGCCTGGACGATTTGACCGCGAGATCCCTCTGAGTGCTCCTGATGAAAAAGCAAGGGAAGAGATTTTGTCCGTGCTAACACATGGTCTTAGACTAGAGGGTTCTTTTGACAGAAAGAGAATAGCTCGTGCGACTCCGGGTTTTGTTGGAGCTGATTTGGCTGCTCTGGTAAACATGAAGAGAATCGCTAATGCAAGGAAGTTGGAACTGCCTAATGACTCTGGATCGTAAGGATATCAACCTCATTGCTGAATAAGACCGCATCAAAGACCCTTCTTGGCGATTCACGGAGTTGCCAACCGTGAAGCCTACATAGCGTTTCCATGGAGGCATTCTCGTGGTAGAAGTGAGGAAGCACCTGAAATGGCTTCGGAGGTTTTTCCCACAATGGTTTCAAGAAATATGTGATTTTCTGACCATGCAAGTAGATTCCGAATATGGACATTGGCACAATGGTGAACAAAAAGATGCATGTTTTGACATCAAGCCCTCGCAGAACACACTTGACCCTTGAAAACGCCATGGTTGCCCGAGAACCCTGCAGCAAATGCCAATACCAAAATTTCAGAAAATTCTCTTCACAATCAGAAACTATACTAATTATGGAAAACTTCGTCAAATCACTGTGAAATTCCACACCAATCTTCATATTCCCTTGAGAATAAGATTGTCTATGACTATTATTTAACAATCACAAACACAATCTCCTTGGCTGTGGCTATCAAATAATATCCCAAAGGGTATGCGACTATCTAAGAAAAATCGCATAAAAAACTATACTAATACCAATGATCACACCAAAGTAGCGTAGTAATGGAAAATTCTCGAAATCAACGCATATGATGAAGATAAGAATCCGAGCTAACGCGTGTAATGTTACACAGAATCAAACCCTAAAACACATAAATTCAGATATCACAGGATGCGGAAGCATGGATCGGGAGTTGCCCAAAAGAACTAAAACTGATCCTGATTTGATTTAACACCAGAAAAATAAGGGCTCAAAGCAGTTATTTCTAATGTTCTCCTGCAGTGCTTCGTCCTAATTTTCACACGAAACAGTTGAAGAAAAAAATGTCGTCTTGTCTAATGCTAAGATTTTTGAAAAAAGACCAAGACGTCAAAATTTTCCTAGATATCGATTCAACTTCCCGGGAAACAGATAAGCGAATCGCGATTTCATCAATGCCAAGAATCAAAAGCCGAGATGGTTCAATGCGCTTCAGTCGAAGCCCCCAGGTTCAAGAAACGAAAACTAGAAGAAAAAACACATCTGACCACAATCATCTTCGCGGATATCGTCGGTTTTCTTAGAACTATAATAACCATCGGACATGATTGAGAAGGGAGATTTGTCGGGAAGAGTAGCGGGAATGTCGGGCTCTTGCGCTGCGCTTAAATCTCCAAGGAAGAATGCAGAATCAAATTGAAGAAACACGATCGGCGATAGTCAGGAATATCCAATATAAGAATAGACATAGGGATAACTTTGTCGCTCGAAATCTATTCCTCCTTCTCATAACGCCAGCTGTAGCCGTTTGGTGCTTTTTTTTTTTTTTCCTTTCTCTTGCATGTGTGTGTGTATATATATATATGTTCGAAAATTAAAAACCATTATTAATATTCTTCCACGATGAATTAATTACGAACGAAGGGGATTAAATATTTTTCATCTGTCCACCCATTATCTTTTAATCTCACGGTCAGAACCGACTTTGCTCGAACTCGTTATCCATTGAATTCTATAAGCCCAAGGGACATATGGGAATCTTGGTAGAAATTGAAATATATTTTTTTAATTAAATTATGGTAAAGCTATATCAAGAGAATTATTGAACTAATTATTTGGGACAATTGTAGATAAAATAGGCATCTTTGTCATAAAATGATTAGGTTTATTAGTTATATTTGGAATATGAGTATGATATACGTATACTGGATGGTATTTGTTTTTGGGTATATTCTCTTAATTACTAAAGGAAAATATAATAATACAAGGGGGGGAGGGTGGCCATTTTAGTTTACCACGGAGCACATGGGCTTTGGGTGCGTCTGGGAAGGGTGCTTTTGTTATTTTGACAAATGATAAAAACCACATTTTAATAAAAATTAATAAAAGGACTTTGTAAAATTCAAGGGGAAAAAAGGAACAGTGAATCCAACACAAGATAATGGGGAAATGTTGGGTCGATCTCAAACCTAATTCCGAACAAAAGAAAGACATTGCATGCGTACGGGCGTTCATATGGATAAGAAGATGCCGTGTGTCGTTTGTATCTACCAATCGACCAGGCACCAGCCCTGCAAGAACATGGTTTGTCCCTTGTGGGGTTTCAATTCTCTGTCACTGGCGAGTCCTTTTGGTTAGGAAATTATCCACCGCATCTCTATTGAAAAGGCCCATAGGCCTTACTATCGAAATGCAAAGCGCAGCCCACGTCCAGATGAATTCACACTATCACGCCACCAAAAATAAAAGCCCATTAGCACTATCTGAAGTAGGGGTGGACATTCGGTTCGGTTATTTCGGTTATTAACCGAACCGACCGATATATACCCGAACCGAACCGAACCGAATAAAATTAAATAACCGTTTGGTTATGATTTTTTAAAACCCGAAATAATCGAACCCGAACCGAACCGATTAAAAATTATTAACCGTTTGGTTATAAATTTTTATAAACCGAATTAACCGAACCCGAACCGAACCGTTTATATATCTTCATTTATATATATTTATATACATATATGAATGTTTATATTCTTGATTTGATCATTGTTTTATTATATTTTAAACGCATTTTATCATTGTTATTATTGTTTTTAAAGTTTGTGTGATATAAACATTAGAAAAAAACGATCTTTATTTATTTAATAGTTTTATATCAAAATATAAATTTAGATATTATTATTTTATATGTTAAAATAATTATGATAATATTTTATATTATATTTTATTTGAATATTTTTAATTATAAATGAATTGATTTTTTAAATACTATAACCGAACCGAAACCGAACCGAACCGAAATATTTATTTGGTTATAGTTTTAAATAGACAAAACCGAACCGAACCGAAACCGAACCGAACCGAACCGAATAAAATTAATTAACCGTTTGGTTATGAGTTTTAATAACCCGAAATAACCGAACCCGAAATAACCATAACCGATTAATCCGTAACCGACCGTTCGTCCACCCCTAATCTGAAGGGTGAAGATTTTCTTATTTTACCGAATTTTAGAGTTTATCGCAGTGATTATTATTTAATATGAACAATTCTATTTAAAATTTCTACTTCAACTAAAATAAAATCCTCATATTTTTTCCATCTAATCTATTCTAAACCGCTGTTAATTCATTAATGATATGTCAATGTTAACTTTAAAAAAAAAATGCAAATGATTTATAAAATAAAAAGCCTATTGGTGAAGCATTGTTTTGTTTTTTTTTTTCGGCAGTCGAACTGCGCGTAGTTGATCTCATAAGCACTCAAACGGCAAGTCGTTTTACTCATAAATCGGTCGGTTTAAACGCATCGTCGTTTCAGCCTTTCAGGGAAAAGGGGAACTACTTGCTGTCTCTTACTGTGAGCCCAAGAGCGTAGAAGCTGCGCATCGATGGCGGCGACAGGTGAGGAGAACGGAATAGAGGCGACGGAGAAGGAAGGTTTTAACCTATTGGGGTCTCCAACGTTCACAGATCTCCAAAACGGGAGGTTCAGATGCGTGGAAACAGGACACGAGCTGCTAGAGAAGGACAAGGAGAGTTATTCGCAAAGCAAGCGGTGTCGTTTAGGGCTCATCGAGTATGCCTTGTCCCACAAGAAGTCTCCTCTCAACTTGTTCAAGCAAGACCCTAACTCTCGGTATTGCCAAGCTTGCTCCTTTAATCTGTTGCTCTGTATAAAACTATTCGGGTTTTTTTTTTTTATTGCGCAAAGTTTTGAATTTCCGGATTGAACCTAAAGCTCAATCCCCGAACTGGCGATTACATTGAAAGTTTCATGTCTTTCTTATGTCTCTGCAGTAGGAGCCTGGGTCGTAATTTTATGGGTCCTGTAAAAATGAGGTTTAGGGTTTTATGGGGTTGTGTTGAAATACGAAATTTCCTTCCTTTCGAATGAAGTTCTGATGTTTGTTGAGTCATGTTTGGTTGATTGATTCACTTCAAGCGAGCTTAGTACTCTTGTAAGTAGAGAATTTCAGGGCGTCATGTCCCAAAACCATTATCACATGAACCCATGATGTCACTTTGATTTCAGCAGTCGAAGAAGTTTGGGTTTTTTATCTGGTTTTCTGAAATTGGTTGTCAGTTCAAAGTTGATATGTAAGCTGACGGGCAAAACTGTGAACAAGAGTGAGGAACATATTTGGAAGCATATAAACGGGAAGCGGTTCCTGAACAAATTAGGTTGGTAATTGCAGCCTTTTGCATTTTTGAATTTGTTTTGTGCATTGGATGTTCACGACGTTTGGTTTATTGATGAAATAGAGGAGAAAGAAATAGAGAAAGAGTCAAAAAGCTCGGCTCCAAAGGAGGATGAAAGTATGCCATTTGAGGAAAATGGCACGAAGGAAAAGAAGAAGAAGCAGAAGAAAGAGAAGAAGATGAAGAAGAGTAAGACGGAGAAGAAAGAAAAGAATGGAGAAAATGTTGCCGATGAAGCAAAAGATGGTAATGATGGTGATGGTAAGTCGGAGGAAGCAGACTTTTGGATGCCTCCAATAGGGGAGCGGTGGGACTTTGACGAGGGAGGTGACCGGTGGGACTCTGCTTCTGACTCCGAGACCAATCATTCTATGGGTTTGTTTCTCTCTGTATCCCTTTTTTATGCTTCTCTTTTCGGTTGAAGATCTTTCTTAACGGGGGAATTATAAAACAGGTGAAGACAATGAAGATGCCGACAGAGGTTCGGAGGAGATCTCCACAGGGTACATGAATTCTTACGTCTATGTTCTGTCCAAATGGAGAAAAATACATCCAAAACGATATTCACGCTTTGCCAAATCACATGTTCTCGCAGGAAAAAGCGCAAGTCTGAACCTATTCCCCGTGGCCTCTCTTCAAAGGAAGAGAAGAAGAAGAAGAAGAAGAAGGAACCATCTTCCCAAGTCTAATCCACTCTTCTCTTTTTGTTTTCTGAACACCAAAAAGGGAAGGATTGTTGTTCCATTTTCGTGGCATTTCTAATATATGGTAGAAAACTTCCGTGCTTTGGATCCCACAAAATCAGCTGTCCAGGGAAGGATGTTCATAATATTAAGCGACAATATGAGGATTAGGCAATTGCGAAATTTCATTAAGTGATTTATCTTTTGTCTTGTATTCGGAAGTTTTGTTGGAGATTTTCTTCATAAGATTGTTCATCCTTGAGAACTGGTGATTGAACCTAAATGTCTGTTTCAGAAAGGCTCGACCAAAAGTATAGTTTTCACATGCTTTTGTCCCATGTGCAATGGGAGAGAAATAAGCTAATCAACAATAACTCAGTTGCGTGTATTATTATTTTTTTCCAATTTGAAATGGAGAGCGCACCCAACGCAAACGCAACAACTGTTTCATTATCGATTAATCGCACGTTGACCAAACGTGCATCAAATTTTGTGGGTTAAAGAAAAAAAATGTTCCCCAAAATCTCCCCGTGTTTCTCTCTTTGGCTAAATCTTTCGTCAGGATTTTATCCTGGAAGTTTACCTTCTCTGTTTCTTTCAACTTTTACGCTAATCTCTGGATTAGAGAGCATTTTCTTCTTAATCTAGAATTTAAGATTTTCTAATTTGATCTTATCGCGAGTGACGGTTACGTGGTTGAATCGTCATCCTGTCTCCGCCTACCTTCCGCTTGAGTAACTTTCCCTGAAAGCTTTCACCTTTTTAGGGGGCTGCAGTTGCCTGTTGTTAGGTCTCCCGGCTCATTTCGCTGGGAATATTTCTTTTGGGTTCTGATCGAAGCCTCCCAAGGCAAAAGGCTTGTTGAATCCATGGCGTAAAACTCATTTTCTCAAGTTTTCTGGGTTTTTCCTGTCACCTTGGTTTTGATAGCACTCTAAATATGAAATGCATTGGTAAAATGTTTCAGGCTAGATTGAAGCAGAGGTTTTGATGGGGTTGGGGAATTCGAAGGAGGACTGGGCACAGGATTCACCCTCTTCCTTTCATTCAACTTCATCGTCATGGAATGCTCCTCGATATGGTCAAGACGGCTATAACCATCAGGAGGCTTATCCTCCACCTTCCCAAAGTCATGGCAACGGTAGGAAGAAACTGGAGCGGAAGTATTCAAGGATTGCTGATGATTACTCTTCTTTAGAACAAGTGAGCCCAGCCCCATCTATCTGCCGAGTTGCGTTATTATGGTGTGCTTATCTCGAGGAGGAACAACGCTCTGCTGTGTTTACAGGTGACAGAGGCTCTTGCACTTGCAGGTCTTGAATCTTCCAATTTGATCGTTGGCGTCGATTTCACCAAGAGCAATGAGTGGACAGGTTGCTGAGACTCCATTTTCATAACTTTGTTATAACTTAAGTGGCTCAAGTGTTACAAGCGATTTCAGACAAGGGAGATGCTAAATGTCTGCTTATTTATTCTTGTAACAGGGGCCAAATCCTTCAACAAAAAAAGCTTGCATTTCACAGGCATTAGTCTGAATCCATACGAGCAAGCCATAACCATTATAGGAAAAACATTAGCTGCCTTTGACGAGGATAACCTAATCCCCTGTTACGGTTTTGGAGATGGTGCGCACTCCGTCTGTCTGTCTGTCTGTTTATGTTTCTTCTTACGTGTCCCAGGTAACTGTATATAAACCAGCTCCTTCACTTGTAACTTTGTGCAGCATCAACTCATGATCAAGATGTGTTTAGCTTCTATCCAGAAGGTAGATTCTGTAACGGATTCGAAGAAGTACTGGCTCGGTATAGGGAAATTGTTCCTCAACTTAAGCTTGCAGGTTCATTTTCCTTCTTTGACCTTATTTTGGCTTCCACATCTTCATCATGAGGTGTTAGCTAAGTACTTGACCCGTGTATGGACGTTGTATTTCAGGCCCGACCTCGTTTGCCCCGATCATTGAAATGGCGATGACCATAGTTGAGCAGAGTGGTGGCCAGTATCATGTGTTAGTAATAATAGCTGATGGACAGGTAGGAATTATATGTCAAATTCCCCAAGTAGCTCTATGATTGTCCGATTTCATTCTCAAAGAACCAATGCAGACTCAATTGGTCGTTTCAGGTTACAAGAAGCGTTGACACTGAAACTGGGCGGCTAAGTCCACAAGAACAAAAGACAGTCGATGCCATCGTGCAAGCAAGGTGGGCTTTATTGTGTACTTTCATCCTGTTCTGCGCTAAAATCCTCTTTTTGGCTGTTTTATGAGAGTTTTCATGGTCTGCTACAGTAAGCTTCCTCTGTCAATTGTCTTGGTCGGGGTTGGTGATGGACCATGGGACACAATGAAGGAATTTGATGATAACATCCCTGCCCGAGCATTCGATAACTTCCAAGTAAGTTTCGTTTGTTCCCTGTTGGGGTCAGCTCCTTCAAGTTTATTTTTCATAACTTGTTTTGGTATTATCTGTGGGTGTGAGCGACCTTTTTAACCTGTTTTCTCTTTCTAGTTTGTGAATTTCACAGAAATCATGTCGAAGAGCAGAGAGCAGTCGCGGAAGGAGACAGAGTTTGCACTTGCTTCTCTAATGGAGATACCCTCACAGTACAAGGCGACAATAGAGCTTAACATATTAGGGTAATTTCTGCGTAAACTCGGCAGGATTTGCATTTCGGTAAACACCAAATGTGTGCCAACAATCACTGCCAGCAACCGCTTGAAACTTTTTGATGGCCTGAGTTTTTTTTTTTTTTAAACTTTCTCATGCCATTTGGTTCGATGCCGACCTTGTTAAAGGTTTCTTGATGCAGGCGAAGAAACGGGAGTGTACCTGAGAGAATTCCACTATCACCTCCGGTGCATGGTGATGCTGGATCTTCCTTCAACACACCGAAGTTTTCCCGTATGCCCAGCTACCAGCCGAGTGTTCCACCTTATCCGAGTGAATGCAAGCCTGTAAGTAGTGCCCCACCTGTCCCAAGCTCAACGTACGATGACCAGGTACAGAAATTAAGACTATGATTTTCATCAGAAGGAACTTTGGATCTGTCTGAACATATGAAGTAAAAGGGTGTGTGTGTGTTTTGGGGGGATGTAGCAGCTGTGCCCGATATGCCTGAGCAATCCAAAGGACATGGCGTTTGGTTGCGGCCACCAGGTAATGCAACTGTTAACCCCCATTCCAACTGTTGGCATTAGAATCTGAACTAACTAAGTGTTTGGTTTCTCAACAGACGTGTTGTGAGTGCGGACCAGATCTCCATGTCTGCCCCATTTGCCGCTCTCCCATCCATACCAGGATAAGGCTTTACTAACCCAGCCAACCCTTGTTCTTCAATCATTCGTTTGTTTGTTTGTTTCTCCGATGCATGCAATCTTTCTGTACAAGGAAGATAAATCTTTTCTGATGTTCCCTTTTGTTGTTGGAGTAACTGCGTTCCATTGTAATATCAACTACTTTTGTGACATAAAAATGCTAATCTATAATATGATTGGGAAATACTTCCGCGCCATGATGCGAGATCCATATGGTTTCTTTCAATGGATATCTTGTGGTTTTTTATTTTATGGAACATGCCGGGTCTTTTACATGATTTCGTTTAGGGATGGGATGGGAAGTACACCACACCCGTTTCAGGAGGATCCGACATCTATACATTCATTGTTGGTTAATTACGGAAACTTAGTGATGGTTGTTGTCTTCCATCGGTTCGATCTCTATGAGCATTCCTCTCTTAAACTCCACGAAAGGGTGCGCGATTGGCATTTCATCTTCTTTTATTCTCCACCTGCCATTTCGCATGATAAATTAGTGAAATATGACGCAACTGATTAGAGGAGGGATGAAAAATGACGAGGAAGAGCCACCTGTAGGAGAGGACAAGATGATGAATGAAGAAGCAATTCTCCAGTTTAGCGATTTCGGCGCCAGGACACAACCTTGATCCGCCTCCAAATGGCGTCAGTTTTTTGCCCATCCCTTTCTCCTGCCACGTTGTTATGTAATAGGGATTATATATAATGAATGATGCTATACATCATAGTAACAAATCAAGTCTCACATATATGCAATGATATGTATATGCACACACGCACACTTACGGTCCATCTCATAGGATTGAATTCGCAGGGATTGTCGTGAAGAGATTGGTCAAGGTTTGCTGCAGTGAAGACAGGAAAAACCAGCCATCCCGACGGAATCACATATTCTGCAGACCACACAGCGAGTAAGGAACCTTTGTTTATCTGTGAATGTACAATTAGCGAGTGACCAAAACCTTTGAATTTAACATCTCGAATGGCTTTTCTGTGAACTAGTTTGACAATGTTCCCGCATCTCAGGGCCTCATGGATGACCTGCACAGTTTCCTTTTGTAAGTTTTCTTCCACTGCAACTATATATATACACATATGTATAGAAAAAAATATTCATATATACATTGCGGGTGAACTCCATCTCCTGGTAATCTTCCATGTTCAAGGGTTCTCCAGCTCCTTTCTTGGCTCTTATGGCTTCATGTTCTTCCTACACATATATACGTACAATTAGTGCTTCAGCACACACATTTATATATATATATATATATATATATAGGAAGGAAGAAGATCAAGATACCGTACCTTGAGTTTGTGAAGAAGAGTAGGAGGAGCTCGAGCAAGGAAGTAGAGAATCAGGGAAAGAAGAGTGGCGCTTGTTTCATATCCCCCAAGCAAAATGTCCAACACGAGACTCACTTTCATTTCATGGTTTAAATCTTCCCTAGACATTATAACATCTAAGAAATCTGCAGATCCTTCTCTCCTCCCACCCTCTTCTCTCTTCTCCCTTCCTTCCATCATCTCTGCGACCCTCTTAGACAGTCTCTTTCTAGCCTGCCATTCCCAACAAACTGTGATTAGTCATTCGCTTATGTCCATATTAGGATGTAATAAACACGCGTTAACAACTGTACGAACCTTGACCGCTTTGGAGTATGCTGTTCCGGGGATTGGTATTGGCAATGACACGAATCCTCTCATGTAAGTTACAAAATCTTGCAACACCTCTCGTGCTGTCGGCTCCTCTGGTCCAATGCTTAAGAGTTGTTTCACCATTATACCAAGAGTGAACTGTATCAAAATTAACACAATACTAGGTATATGATTTGAACAGGGTCTCATCATGATGATCTTAATAAAAATAAAAATAAAAAGCTTTGTTACCACTTTGATCTCGTCATGGAATCTGACTTGAGTCCGTCCTCTCCAAGAATCCAATAGCGAGATAGAAAGCTGATCTATGCAAAGAAGGAAGTCGGGGTTTGACCTGTTGAGCGCAATGAAGCTGGTGATAACATTCCGTAGCTTCTTGTGAAGGTCCCCGCTGACGAAGAAGAGGCTGTACGTGCCGAGAATGTCATGCATCACCTTTGGATAGGCCGCCTGAAACAACTTCTCTTCGTTTTGGAGCACGAACGCGTTGAGCTCATGGTCGCATGATACTATGGCTGGACCGCCACATATGTGCGACTTGAACACTTTCCCATACCTGAAACATGCATATGTATAACATCAATCTAACTTTACATTGATTGGGTGATGAACTTTGGATCAACCCTTTGATTGTATTGGAGCTGCAAGTGCAAAGAAGGAGAATGGAATAACCTAGAACAATGCTGTTGCAAGAATCTTCCAATGGAATCTGAGCGATGGGGTTTGAAGAAGGCAGCAGTCTCTCCAATGAAGGGCCATCCCATGCTGCCACCTGGTAGCGAGTAATAGTGATCTTTTGGTTCCTTCCGTTTGGAGATTGGCATGTATCGGGCCAAAATGTAAGCCAAGACAAATCCCAGCGACAACAGAACCAAGACGACCATGGCTGGTTAGGAACCAAAGTGCCCTAGCTAACTCCTTTGTTTGATGATAAGTTTTGATTCCTCGTCTGCATATATACTATGTGCTGTAAGATGTTGCCTTTTTTTGTCCCAAAAATCCTAATTAACTTCCATTACTAGCATTGAAACATCTAAAAGAACTATTAAAGGAGCTATTGAGAAAAATATCTCTGTCACTTAAGGACAATATCATATTTTAAATGCTTTCATAAACTCTAACCCCTAGGATTCTAAAATACAAAATTGAGTCAAATCTATAATCCAAGTATTCAATTTGTATGATTGAATTCCATATAAGGAAGGATAGCTCATATAATATAAGCTTCTGACTCTATCTTTAATTACGACCTTTTTTCTTAGTGGCATGATAATATATAAAGATTTCTTTTAATACTGTATCCATTAATGGGTCAATAAAATTAGAAGCAAACCCACATATACTACAGTACGTGCCAGAATCATCATAATCATTACAACTTGAGTAGTAAAAAGAAGTGCATGTATGTATGTATGTAGGCTATCTAAAAAATTTAACATGGAGTAATTGCATGCGGTCGATCGGTCGTGCATGGTTTCCCTAAAAGTTGGAAGGGATTTTTTAAATTTTTTTTTGTTTCGTTAGGTTCACCTAGACCTTCGGTCCAACCTATATCCCCTAGATCTGGAAGTAGCCTTTAGAGACCCGACGACAGAGATCTAGAGAGCAACACCCTCCCAACCGAGAAAGGGTATAAGCTGTTATAAGTGTGTTATGTTTTCAATTTTTGAATTTCAAATTTCCTCTTTCTTGTGTATAAAGAAAGGTAAATGTGGTTGAAGATTTGAATGAGAATGAGAGAAAATCATTCCAATTTCTATTTCTTTCTCTGATTTATTAGGCATATTGAGATTTCATCTAATCTTTTTCATATTCATTTTTTTCTGATCAAATTTCGTCAGATCTCATTTGATTTTATTTTCCTTTTTGGATCCAATTTGATTTTCCTTGATTCTGATGCCCTTTTGATCAGATCTCTTGGGGAGACTCTCAAATCTCAAGCGCAACCAAAGGCTTTTACTTCATATATAACTTTGAAAGGGACCATACTGGAAAATTGACAGGAAATGGGTAATTGGAATTCGAATGAATTAAGAAAAGAATAAATAACAGGAAAAAGAACACCTCGTAAAAATAACGTTTACAATCTCCAGCTGTTATAATACAAACTTAAGAGACTGTGAGAAAGAAGGAGAATACGCATTTTGGGCAGAGAGACTCATTGCACACCTTAAAACTTCTTTTATTTGAAAATTCCATTATCGTATTATGCTTTGATGGTCCCTCGACCGACCCCATGCAACGAGGATCACGAAGATGCCCACAGTACATCTTTATTACAGTTTTCTTATATATATCAAAGTATCTGAATAAAAAATAAATAAATTATTTTAGAAAAAAAATAAACAAGAAAGATGCTTGTCAATTTGATAGAAAAAATAAACTAATGGCATAATTAATTTGAATGGGGGAATGAACGAAAACACGTAATTGTAAAACGTAAAGAACGTAAATTAGGGACAAACATCCGGGAGAAGGATGTCTCTAACACAAGTTGTGATGGACACAACACAACACTTGCTTCAATAATTTAGAAAAAAAAAACCCAAAGAAGAAGCAAAGAAGTTATTCCCTACATCCTAACTACCTATATATCCACACACTCCCAGACCCCCAACATCTCCATCTCCATATATTTTATTTATTTGCCTCATCAACCCCTGTATTTCTCCTCCTCTCACAATTATGGCCCAAAACTTTCCGTTGGTCCCAAAACCCCTTGGTGATGCCTCGACCGACCCTCTCAAAAGAGTCTCACTTATCCCAAGAATGCCTGAGCAAAATGTCCCGGAAAATGTAGGAGAGAGACGTCCCTTAGCCCCCACAACCCGAGAAGACAAACCTTTAGAGGGTCGTCATCATCCTGCTCCAAAGACGACTCCTCTTGAACACAAGATGACAGATCCTGAAGCTGAGAAGCTAACTTCTGTGGTGCAAAAGAGTGTACATCCTCATGAGCTAGAGGATGGTCTCACCAAGCAATCCTTGACTCCAAAGTCAATGGATCAAAGATTGCCAATGGATGCCTCAGGAAGATTGGGTTTGGGAAAGAAGTCGCCTTTTCATAGAAGGGGTAGGCCTATGTTCGCATTTTCTGACGATAGGGTGATGCTGGAGAGAGTGTTGAAGACTCATAGCCCCGACATGCTCTCCTTCGATGTCAAGTCCCTTCTCTCCATCGTCCATGACATCTTCAAGTCTCCTGTTCCATCCATCGATGTCGTCTCTGCCTCTAAGGTGTTATTTCCCATGCAAATATACTTTTCCAACCCTGAAAACAGATCTATCAATGACTGTTTTTCTCTAACTATGTGATCTTGTTTTTCTTTTCATGCACCAATTACGTTCAAGGACTATGCTGATCACACCTCTTTTGAAGCATTTGCAGAGCTCATTGATCAGATTTCCTGCGAGGTTTAATCATTTCCAGTTCTTGTAAAGCTTTTTTTGTGTTTTATGTTTATATTCATTTCCAAGGGTTTAGGTACAAAAGTCACAAAGTGTCTGTATCGTGTGTTTCTCTGGTAGATCGAATGCAAGTGTCTGCATGGCGGAGAGTCTCATGGATTGATGTCTTCAGGACTTCATCTAGACAGCCGCAACACCACAGCCTTCTCTGTTCTGTCTCTTGTCTCCAAGTACCGCTGGGATGCAAAAGTCGTTCTCATCTTAGCTGCATTGGCTGTTAAATATGGAGTTTTTCTATTGCTGGCAGAAACGTATGCAACAAACCAGCTAACAAAGTCGATGGCAATGATCAAGCATCTCCCTGCCATTTTCTCACGTGAGGCGACGGCTCTGAACCAACGCCTTGACAAGACCCGCGTTCTGATGCAAGACATGGTTGATCTGGCCACCACTATTATCAAGATTTACGAGCTCCCTACTCAGTTCATCACTGAAGAATTCACTAACCACGTCCCCACCGCTGTTTACTGGATTGTTCGCAGCGTTCTGGTTTGCACTTCTCATATCAGCAGCCGTGTCAACGGCTTCAGACAGGAGTAAGTTCTCTGTTACGCTTCACTTTTAACTTGTTCTTCTTCTTAAGGAGTTGATAGAGACATACATTGAATTATTATATGATTACTTTTCTTTACCTTCAAGAACATAATTTTTTTTAGCGATTTATGCACGAGTGAATTTTTCTCACCTGGATTTCAGCAAAGGCATCATGTCATTTATGGAAGTATCTGAGATACATGAGAACAGTGAACGACTCAGGAAGATCAACGGTTACCTGACAGAACAACTGAACAAATGTCTTGAGAAGATCAGTAAGCTTTGATTCTCTTTCTCTCATTAATTTGTATCCAAAATATCTTCTCTCATCAAAGCTTCTTCCACTCGGTCACAGAGGATAGGATAACGGAAGACGAGTATCAAGAACTCATCAGAACATTCACCACAATAATTCACGTCGATGTAGTTTCGCCTCTTCGTCGTCTATTCAGACCAATCGATTATCTTTACCATGGAGCCGCTCATTTGAAGAGACGGGTAAAATATCAGAGCTTCATTGGCCATGCATCTAACCAAATGTAGCATCGGTCAAATCTATAACACTGGTCTTCTTCTTGCGTTTTTTGTTCAAACGTTAACCAGGTCGGAATCGATGCCTTGTCCCAGAAGCATGTGCTGCTTATGATATCGGACCTCGAAAACCTAGAAAGAGAGCTCTACATTCTTGAACAGCTCTACACCGATGCTTGGGAGCAATCTTTCGAGTTTGTATGGGTCCCAATACAAGATTTCTGGACAGAAACCGAGAAAACCAAATACGAGACGCTTCATTCGAGCATGACGTGGTATGTTCTGGGAGAGCCTTGGATGTTACCACGATCGGCCTTGAGGTTTGTAAAAGAATCTTGGGGCTTTAAGACCAAACCCATCCTTGTGGCACTCGACTCAAAGGGGCAAGTGACGTCCACGAACGCTTTTCCGATGATCTGGATTTGGCAGACTTTCGCCTATCCATTCACGAGCACGAGGGAACTCGATCTCTGGGCCGAACAAGAGTGGAATCTTGAGTTCTTGATCGATGGCACTGACCCTCACTCTTTAAATCAGGTGGCGTTTGGAACTTAAACACACTCACACTTGCCAATTCTTGAACAGTTTCCATATTACAGATGTTTTTGCCTCAAGCAAAACTAAAAAGGATGAGTTTTCTTTTTATTGTCTTGCATCAGATGGCAGATGGGAGATACATATGCCTCTATGGAGGAGAAGATATGCAATGGATCAGAAACTTCACAAATCTATGGCGTGGGGTAGCAAAGGCCGCAGACATCCAACTGGAGATGGTTTACGTTGGAAAAAGGAACCCAAAAAATGGACTTCAGCCTATAATAGACAGAATCAGACAAGAGCAAATAAGCCACACGCTCGTGGACCTGTTCCAGATATGGTTTTTCTGGACGAGGATAGAAAGCATGTGGGAATCAAAGCAACGAGTTCTGAAACACAAAAACAACACCAGAGAAGACAAAGACAATGTGCTGATGGAGATCACATCTCTGTTAGGTTATGGAGGAGAAGGTGGAGGGTGGGGACTTGTGAGCAGAGCATCAGAGCTGATGGTACGGGCGAAAGGCAACGTGTTTGAGATTGCTTTGACAGAGTTTGATCAGTGGAATGGTGAGATTCCTTCAAAGGGTTTCCTGAGAGCGCTCTATGATCATCTAATGGCTCCTCGCCCGCCACACCACTGCACAAGATTCATGCTCCCTGAATCGGCAGGGATCATTCCCAACTCGGTCGAGTGCACTGAGTGTCGCAGGACCATGGACAAGTTCTACTTGTTCCAGTGCTGTCTCGAGTGATTTGAGGAAGTTTGTGGGATATTCTCTTTATGTTGTCTTGAGTCAATAATATATGATGATGCTATGTTTGTTGTTTATTTTGTACGAATTCAGAAGCTTTGTAATAAATATGTGATGAGGCTGAGACCTTCACATGTGGTTTGTGATTTCTGAGTTCGATCAAATACCAGTTTGATAAAGTATTTATTGGAAACAAGCAATATACTAAGAAGTTTTGCATTAGAATTTCTGTATCAACTTGTTCTTATACATTTTGGCAAATGTATCAAGTATCTAGCAAGAAAAACATAAGCTTTCAAGTGGATGTATGTATTAAAAAAACGTGTACATAGAGAGATCATATACATACATACCTGGTTACTAAAATATCAGAAAGAACGAAACAGCATTTTGGATTTGTTGCCGTTTTTTTATCCTTTACCTGAAGGATCTTATAGTGTTGGAACATAATAAACTTGTTCCTGACATTTAGGGGTTCGTGTCGGTCATTACAGTTTTCCAACAACAGAAACAAAAACTCTGACGAAGACAATCTGCAGTTAAAAGCGATGTAAGGTGACAGTGTGTTAACAGAGTGTGTATCAAACACGTCGGACTGTTGTTCTTGCTAAACTGGGCCTCGGCCCATATGATTTTATATCATCAATATGGGTTTGTATTATACGTACGCATAATTTTGTTTCGTTATCATGAATGACATCCAAAAGGAAGGAGTAGAGGTGGGCATTCATTTTAGCATCAATTTCACCATCAAGGTTCTATTTTTGGTATTATTATAAAAACAAAGGTCAGGGAGATTTCTATTTTTGTCTCAAATCCATTGATCCTCCTAATTTTTCTCAACCTCTAAAAAACCATATAAACCCCCCCCCCCCCCCCCTGTCATCTCCCATTCAAAGCTTTTGCAGTATTTCTCCTTCCCGAGAAAATACAAAATACTGCTATAGCTTTGGGACACTTCCCTTTAATCTCTAATAAAAAAAACATATATTATCATTAAAAAAAATGGATCGGCAATTTACAGTAGTTGTCGCCATGATGTTATTGGCAGTGAGCAGCGCCTTGGCAGCGGAAGCACCAGCAGGATCACCAAAGAAGGCTCCATCGCCAACAGCCGCACCCACAAACGCTCCATCGGCTCCGACTAAGTCTCCGGCCGCCGCGCCGAAGGCATCCTCCTCCTCGCCCTCCCCTTCCCCAGAGGCTTACTCCCCCGATGGTTCCTCCGACGATGACGACTACACTCTCTCCCCCGTCGACGGCGGCGACGGAGACACCATCTCCTCCCCACCGGCTCCCACCCCCGACTCCTCCGTCTCCGACGGGCCCGCCGAGGCACCCATCGAATCCGCCCCCGAGAAGGCCGCTGCCTCTACCCTCAACCTCTCCTTCGCCGGCTCCATCGCTGCCGCTGCCTCTGGCTTCTTCTTCTTCTCCTTCTAATTCAGTTTTCATTGTGATGCTTTTATTGTAAAACCTTTTGAGAGATTCGGCATGTGTCTTTATTTTTTTAGTATAAGATTAAATGGAAGTTTATGTGAAATGGATTTCTTCAAGAAGGGCATTTGGTCTAGTGGTATGATTCTCGCTTAGGGTGCGAGAGGTCCCGAGTTCAATTCTCGGAATGCCCCCTGTTCTTTTAGTTTTTCCTTAAATAAGAAAAGACACGTGGGAAAATCTGTCAAAAAGTGTAATTAAAAATGGGACCCACAATTATCGCGCTTTTTCCCCTGATCCTTCACTCTGATTGGTTCCTCAGTCTGACGTTCCTCGTCAACTCCCCAGTAGCAGAATTATAATTAATCCTTTAGGCCCAGTAAATTACATTTTTTCTTAAAATTCAATGCATAAAATGACTACATCTTTTCTAAACAGACTGCTCATTAATCAGAGTTTTACATGACAGAGGTTTCTATTATGTCTCACCGGCATGCATTAACTCAGTGATTTTCCATCACATTTTTTTTGCGATTACATTTAATGGCACAATACAGAGAGAGATGAATTCTTTTGATGTTTTTTAGGGTTTTGTTTTTTTGTCTTGTGGTGGGTAATGATTTGAAGTCGAATGAAACCGAAGTCTTGCATTCATCTTCCCAGATAACTAAAACAAATCATATCCCTGCATTAACACGTGAACGTTATCAATACAAGAAACAAACAGAGAACGAGTGATGTATGATTAATTGCATGTACATTGATGTATCACGCCCTTGCGTGAATGAGGTGTCTCATTATCACATCCACGTTCAGAAAATTTCTCAAGCGCCTTTGGAAATCAGAAGGGAAAGTTACCCCATGTCTCGTTCTCACGAGATGATGTTAATATGCAATCTAATCTGTGATCTATCCACTCCATACACATCCAAACGAAATCCAAGATAACATTAGTTATGATCAATCGTACGCTGACACGTGTCCAAAAGTACCCATCGCCATCAGTCCATCCTCTCACCCTTTCTCTCCTCATTGCGAACTTTAGTGGAGAGAGAGCGGAACAGAAGAGCAGGGGAGAGAGGAAAGAGAGAGAGAGAGAGATGTGTAGAAAAACTCCTGCGGTCGGAGAAGAAAAACAGGAAACAAGAACTACTACTCGGCACCAGAAGACATCGCCGGACAATCCGAAGAAGAAGAAGCAGAAGAAACCCAGTGAATCCACGCACAGCAAGACTCCATCGAATCTCGGACCGTCCCGTAAGATCAGGACCAGGACGAGAAAGCCCAAATATCTGAGTCTCAGACTCGAACTTACCACTTCTCACCATGAAAGCAGAGCAGAAAACGATCCCAGCAGCAAGAAGACCACCAAGAAGAAGAAATCCAGGAAGCAGAACAAGTCGGCAAGCACCGACATGACGACGGAGATGGGTAAGAAGGAGCAGCTCGACTTGTTTCCTCTTCATCCGGAGGCTCCCAGCGACAAAGAAAGTTACGGTGATTATCAATACGACGCCGTTACGGCCTACCTCTTCAACTCCGCCACCGACAGTACCATCTCTTCAATCCACGACCTCCTCGACTCCTCCGCCGGAGACGCCGGCGTCCCTGCCACCGGGATTCTCTCTCCGTTCGATCACCGGGATCCCGGGTCTTCGTCGTTGTCGCTTGTACGGACGGCGATGAGGCGGGGAGCGAGCCAGGAGGCTGAGAAGGCGGCGGAGGAGCGGTGGGTGAGTTATTCCGAGGTGGTGGAGGAAGTCATGAGCCGAAGCGGAACCCCCCGGTGGTGCGGCGGCGGATACGACGGAGAGGAGGAATCCGGCGGTGGAGGAAGGCCGTCGTTGGCTCTGAAGCTAGATTACGAGCAGATCAAGGAGGCTTGGTCCGACAAAGGATCGCTCTACGTCGACGGAGAGCCGCCGCAGACGGTGCCGGACCTGCATGCCCAAGTAAGTAACTATAAAAGTCCGCGTTAATTCGATTTATTAACGATGCTTAATTAACTAATCGAACAATATTTTTGTTTAGGTGAAAATTAATTAAAAATGGGGTTTCTCGTGTCTTGTTTCTTGACTCTATTGGTTAGAAAGTTCAATAAAGTCCAAAGTATACGCACCAGAATTAGTGGATTCACGTGCGTGGTAAGCAGCTTGATCATAAGTTGTGAACTTTTCTGATGTAGTTGAGCAAACCCTTTTTCAAGCTTAATAATTTTATGATGCGAGAGTTCCTTTAAAGTAAAAAAACGAAGAAGATTAACGGTTTTCGAATCTTATATACAAAATTACGTGACATGAAAAATGGAAGATGCTACACGGAGAATTTACCTCTTGGGTGAAGAGAGAGATTTGACATTTTGTGTTTGGGCTGAAAAGGTACTTTCTTTTTGTGGGGTAGAAATGGTCCTTTGATTTTTATGATAGGTGTGAATTGAGGGGCCTACAAGGCACTATCATTCAGCCCCGAGTGTACGTACATATCCCTCATATATAGTCACATCTCACATGTGTGTATGTGTTGTGCAATCAACGATCGACAATTGCGTTGGTCGATTCCTTAGAAAGAAGGTTATTACAGGCCGTGTCCTAATGGATGATGTCAGGAAAATAAATGTAAAGGGTAATGAATGTTTGGAACAGGAGGGGGCAGGGATGAGTGTGTGGGCGGTGCCCGAGATGGAAGAGACGGAGAGGGCGAGGAGAGGACGGAGGGAGGCCAGCTTGCTGCGCTACAAGGAGAAGCGCCAAAGCCGCCTTTTCGCCAAGCGGATTCGCTATGAAGTTCGCAAACTCAACGCAGAGAAGCGTCCCCGTCTCAAAGTACGCTTTTGCATCACTTAACCAGTCTAAACCGGTAAATGGTTCTGGTTCTGATCGTTCGCTTTGGTCGTTTCTGCAGGGCCGGTTTGTAAAGAGAGCCGAAACAGAGGCCCAGGGACCTATTCTATTACGTGAGAATTAGAGGGTTGGTGCACATACTTAGTTGAATGGGTGGTCGTGGGGAAATAACCGGTTATTTGGAAAGGTATTGTTTTTTTTTTTTTTTTTTGTAGAATGAAAATGTTGCAACTTCTTTGGGGGAAGCAGTGAGCTGCTAAACCGGTTATCCTGAACTAGAATATACCGAGTTTTTGAGGATAGCCTTCAAATGGGTTATCTGCATAGGGCCTCGGTTTTGTGAAAGTTTTGGGTTTGTGCCTCTGCTGCTGTACCTGTAGCCCTTTGAGCCCGAGGAGGCTCGTAATCAAAAGTCCAAGTACCCAATAACTAAATCTCTGTACACTGAGGTATACAACGCATCTAATATATGCTTTCCGAAATGAATACAGAATGTGTAATAGTAAATATCGATTCATTAGCGTGGTAATAGGAGAGATCCCCACTCCGTTTTCAAAATCAGACAGTTATTCTGCTGAGATTAACTAACCACTACTCCCATTACTGGTAACCGACTCCTCGTCACTTGCTTATAAGAAGCCCTGTTTGCGGATGAACCCACACTCTGCTCTATTTTCTCCTCTTGGAAAATGAATCCCAAGACGTTCCTTTGGGCGGTAACTGTGGCAGTGATATCATCTTGTCAGAATCTGTGCGTGTCTTCGTCCGAGTACAAACTCAACTGGGTTGTTCCTCCCGCAAATTCTTCCGACACCTTCAACGACTGGGCCTCCAAGAAACGCTTCCAAGTCGGCGATATCCTCCGTAAGTATCATCGTCATCGTCATACGTAAAGTTTCCGTCTTTCCGTATTAGATTAACGTCTTTTCTGTGGGACAGAGTTCAAGTACAACAAGGACTCGGTGATGGAGGTGAAGATGGAGGATTACAGAAACTGCGACTCGTCAAGGCCCAGAAGATTCTCGAACACGGGCAAGACCAGATTCAGATTGGATCACTCTCGTGCTTTCTATTTCATCAGCGGAATGTCCGGTCACTGCGAGAAAGGCCAGAAGTTGATCGTCAAAGTCATATCTCCCGACCCTCCAACTTCTTCTGCTCCCGCGGCGCTCTCTGTCTTATCCCTCCCCTTCTTCTTCCTCTTGTTTCTCCTTTCCCTTTCCTCCTCTTCTCTTCTTGTTTAGCCCCCCGGCCCGATTTCATTCAATGCTTGTCTCCTTTTTATGTATATTGCCGTTTTTTATTTTAATATTTACCATCTTTAATTTGTATTTCAAGCTTTTTGTGCACGTGTCACGACTATGGAATTCAGAAATATTACAAAATTTTTATTTTCGTTAAATAAACGAGACTAAAAGAAGAGAATCGAAATGAGCTTTCGTGTTTAAGGCCCAATAGAAGTTTATCGCACCTAATTTTAGTATATAACTGAAGCCCATTTGGTCTCAATATTAACCTCACAATGGATAGTTTTGAGGGATGAAAATTGATATCTAGTCATTGCAAAAAAAGTTCCATCGGTTCTTTCTGTTCGACGGCGACGACCGCAGAGAACCACGCGAAGGAAAGCAAAGGCAACGTAAGGAGCACAAAACCCGTAGTCGGCATGGAGAACGGAGGAATTCCGGAGAACGCCAACGAACGTGCGTAGTCTTCCCTACCTTTGTCGGGTTTTCTAGGGTTTTTCTGAGTTCTTTTGACTTGATTTCGATTACAAGAGGTTTTTCTGTCACTTTTGTTGTCGATTAGATTGCCCTGGTCCTCAATCGGAGTCTGCTGGACAGTCAGATGCTTGCCAAGGTTGCCCTAATCAGCAAATATGTGCTACAGCCCCTAAGGGCCCTGACCCAGGTTCGCTTCGTCCCTTCATTTTCTCAACCATGTATGTCTGTGTATGTAATAGCTTGGTGCAGCCGAGCAAGTATTTGTCCGTCTCGCTTCTGATTCGGTCATGATTCAGCTGTATATACTCTTACCCGGAATATTTGTTATGAGCAAGTAGTTGTTCTGGTAAAAGTATCTTTTGGTGGTTCGCAATAATATTTCGCAAATGGTTTATATGACTCTTAATTCTTCATTATTGCTGTGTATCTCTCATGTCTCAATGGGTATCGGTCAAGTTCGGTTGTTTTGAGATCTTTTTGTGTATGGTGAATATGAGTATCGGTCCGGCTAATTGTTGCTGTATAAGCTTGTTATCTATATTTCCGATGGTCTGTAACGTGGTAACGTAGCATTTTATGCCGTGTACGATTTCCATATGTGTTCCCACGTATAATATTAGGTCTTGTACTGCGGTATCAGCCGAATAGGAGAAAACACGATTGCTTCATAGAATATATCATTTACATCAATGTCTCTGTATTCTGTAATTGCTGTTGTGTTTGAGATTCTCATCTAGGTTCTTCAATCTCTGCTGCTTTCATTGAAAAACACCCAGGTAGTTATTACTTGAGGTCTTTAAAGAGACTTTTGTTGACATTGTTGTGTTCTTCAGATTTGGTGGCCATAGCAGAAAGGATGGCTACGGTGAAACACAAGATATTGGTGTTGTCAGGCAAAGGTGGGGTTGGTAAGAGCACGTTTTCGGCTCAGCTCTCCTTTGCCCTAGCAGGCCTGGACTATCAGGTGGGCCTCATGGACATAGACATTTGCGGCCCAAGCATCCCGAAAATGCTAGGCCTTGAGGGGCAAGAAATTCACCAGAGCAACCTCGGATGGTCCCCGGTTTACGTGGAAGACAACCTCGGTGTCATGTCCATCGGGTTCATGCTCCCACACCCTGATGAAGCTGTTATCTGGAGAGGGCCCCGGAAGAATGGACTCATCAAACAGTTCTTAAAAGATGTGTATTGGGGGGAGCTTGATTTTCTTGTGGTTGATGCTCCACCAGGGACCTCAGATGAGCACATCTCGATTGTCCAGTTCCTCCAAACCACTGGGATCGACGGTGCAATTATAGTGACGACACCACAGCAGGTATCGTTGATCGATGTAAGGAAAGAGGTAAGCTTTTGCAAGAAAGTCGGGGTACCAGTACTTGGGGTCGTTGAGAACATGAGCGGTTTATCCCAGCCTTTGACAGACTTCAAGTTCATGAAGCTGACAGAGACCGGGGAACAAGCAGATGTGACAACGGACATGATCTCCTACATAAAAGAGAAAGCCCCGGAGTTGCTTAACATAATCGCATGTAGCGAAGTGTTTGACAGCAGTGGTGGCGGTGCAGAGAAGATGTGTCGGGAGATGGGGGTCCAGTTTCTGGGAAAAGTCCCGTTGGAACCACAGCTATGCCGAGCTTCCGAAGATGGCAAGTCATGCTTTGATGATAACAAGTGTCTCGCTAGCGCTCCCGCTCTCAAGAACATAATAAAGAAACTAGTGGCGGATTTGACGTCAAGAACTGCCATTACTGACTGAGTAAAACTCTTTAAAGGTTCTGGAGTACCAATGCAATAGGTAACACCGAAACGTTTTCTTGTCTGGCCTTGTGTCAAATGTGTATTAGGTTGCTGTAAGGTTATGTTACATTCTCTGTGTTTTGTCCAATCCGTTTCAGAATACAGGCCATGCGGCTCAAATTATATCTGTGTTAATGTGGTTTGAGTACTTTGTAATAGTATTGGTATTTCGAGCAGTGGCATTAGGGATTTTTGTATGGCAAGACTGTAAAAGAGGGCTTGATAAGACTGGATATTCGGCCCATTTATACTAAGGTATGCATATGAATATGATCTTTGATGAGCCAGATGTAGTTGTATGTATTGGTATGCGTGATGAACCGGTTGGGTTTATCCCCATGATGTCATGATGCAACCACCAAGAAGATAAAGGAGAGGAGATGATAGGTACTGCTCCGGTTCGTTCGGTTTTCTTGGTTCAAAGATTCTGGGCCAATTGCAGTCCGAAGCTTTATCGGTTTATTATGTTCTCGAATTTGTGAATGGGTAATCGTACCGATGAATGAATAAACCGCGCTAATCGGTTGGATTTGGATTTCTAATCTCTGTGTGCGTCGTGGCCCATGATGCCACGTGTCAAATTTGTCAACTTGCTTGGTGACTCTCTATCTTCGCCCATCCTAGAAACTTGTAATCTCGAGCGTCTGGTTCTAATGAACGGCCAGGATATGGCCACTACGCTTTGATCACCTGCGTGGCTAACGACCGAAGCGAGACGGGTTCCTTCGTGACCGAATCCCCATCATCTCTTTCCCCCGTCAAAATTCAAACATGACGAAATAAAAGAGCCAAAAAAAAAAAAGTTCGGCGTCATAAAAGCGGAGCAGGGTCCTCATCAGTTTCGCAATCTCGGTACCCAGAAGTTTTTTTGTGTTTTCCTCTTCTTTTCTAACGGTGATCATGGCGAAGATCAGGGTCGGAATCAACGGTATTTTGCTTCTGTTCTCATGGAAATGGAGTATCTCGGTATTTCTCTCTTCGAGTTGATTTTTGCTGAGATTTTGTCTGGCTTCCTTAGGATTCGGAAGGATCGGACGTTTGGTTGCTAGGGTTGTCTTGCAGAGCGATGATGTCGAGCTCGTTGCCGTTAATGATCCTTTCATCACCACCGAGTATATGGTATTAACGTATATATGCACCAGAGCTCGTAGGTTTTCCGTATAAAGTGTCCATAGCATGTCATGTCTTGTATTTCTTATATACAGTGTCTGTATATGTGTGTGCACTCGCACATATTCCTTATTGTCTCACTCTGGATTTTGTATATTGTATTGGTAGACCTACATGTTCAAGTATGACAGTGTTCATGGGCATTGGAAGCATTACGAGGTGAAGGTGAAGGACTCGAAGACCCTGCTCTTTGGGGAAAAACCTGTAACCGTTTTTGGCATCAGGTATGTTTTTTACTGGAAGTCTAAAGGTGAAACTTGTGAACCTCGATCCCGTTTTACTTACCGAATCCTCTCTGTTTTGTTCCACAATGGTTAGGAACCCAGAGGAGATTCCATGGGGTGAGACTGGCGCTGACTTTGTCGTGGAGTCCACCGGCGTTTTTACGGACAAAGACAAAGCTGCTGCTCACTTGAAGGTTTGTTTTGATAAACCTTGTTATTTTGACATTATTGTGTTGCCCATTTTGTGGTATAACATTCTCATCACTGTAAGCCAGGGAAGTAAATAATCTTTGTATGAGTTGCTAGATTTTATTCTGATGGGTAGTTTTTGTGACATCTTTAACCTGTTGGAAATATGTTAAAGTTCATGGTGGTGGTTCCACACTCTGCTTGCTGGGGGCATAACCATGTTCGTGTTTTAGCTTAATAAATTGATAGAGGTATAAAAGTTGTCAATTTAGAATGAACAATATTGTTGTGTAAACTCTCCGTGTCTGTGTAGGGCGGTGCAAAGAAGGTTGTCATTTCTGCCCCTAGCAAAGACGCCCCCATGTTTGTAGTGGGAGTCAATGAGAAGGAATACAAGCCTGATATCGATATTGTCTCCAATGCTAGCTGCACCACCAATTGTCTTGCGCCATTGGCTAAGGTTAGGACACAGATGACTAAGAGACATAGTAAGTTTCCTGCTATTGTTTTGAATTTTCCCTCGCTGATATCAGTGTTTACAGGTAATCCATGATAAGTTTGGCATAATCGAGGGTCTCATGACCACTGTTCATTCCATTACTGGTGAGTCTTGTTCATATGTCCTCTTTTCAGGTTAAAGTAGAGCATCCTTTCATTGTGAGCGCTCTAATATTCATTTTACATATGCAGCAACGCAAAAGACCGTTGATGGTCCGTCTATGAAGGACTGGAGAGGTGGAAGAGCTGCTTCCTTCAATATCATCCCAAGCAGTACTGGAGCTGCAAAGGTTGATGATGGGTTTTCTGTTATTTAATTTTGTCATTCTGTGTATATGTACGCTAGCTAAGTCTTTTGCCATGAAGTTGTCACCCACAGGCTGTGGGGAAGGTTTTGCCATCACTGAATGGGAAGCTAACGGGCATGGCTTTTCGTGTGCCAACTGTTGATGTATCGGTTGTTGATCTGACCGTGAGGCTTGAGAAGAAGGCATCCTATGATGAAGTGAAAAATGCAATCAAGTACGTATCAGGATTTTATATATATATATATAAACGTGTGTGTGTGTGTGTTTGACTATATGTTAAAACCTTGGATATGGTCAACAATAGGGAGGAGGCGGAAGGGAGGCTGAAGGGCATAGTTGGCTACACTGAAGATGATGTCGTGTCAACCGACTTCATAGGAGACAGCAGGTGAGCCTCTGCATCTAGAAACTGATGCAATGTACACTTGATTAATATGGTTTGGAATATTATTGAAAAATGTGTCGGGGAAGGTCGAGCATCTTCGACGCTAAAGCGGGGATTGCGTTGAACGATAACTTCCTGAAGCTTGTCTCTTGGTATGACAACGAGTGGGGCTACAGGTGAGAAGAAGACATCTTTTATTGTTTGTGTGCTAAATTAGCATAAACTGATGATGAAGATTCTGTTTCTTGTGTTATTGGGTAGCTGCCGCGTAGTCGACCTTATCCGTCACATGGCTTCTGCCGCCAAGTGAACGAATGAATACAACAGTGTCCGCACTTGGCACAGTGAACGCTGAATGGGGGATGTTAAAAATAATAAAAGCCGGCATATGTAATATAACTGCGTGTAGTTACATGTGTGTTGTAGACCCATTTGGATCTTCTTCTAGTACATCAAATGTTGTTCCTCTCCAGTTTTTCTCTTGTTTGTTACATATATTTTCAGAATTAAGGAACGCCCACCAATGGGCCTATCTTGCTTATTTGTTGAAGCACATGGGCCTCTCTGGTCCATTAAGGCCCAAAGTTTTCTTTTTAAAATAACCGCATGTTGGGCGACTTCGCCATTTTCACTGCTCCGCTACCGCCTGTGAACAAGATGAAGAAAGGTACTCGAGCAGGTAATTTCACGCCGCTTCTACTACTGTACGACTTAGCCTGCTGCCATTTCTCGTTAAATTTATGCTTAATGTTTGATCTGTGGTTTACTGATTAGCCCTATTCTTTCTTCAATTCCTCGATCGCTCTTCAGATTTCCTTCCTTTTTATCTGTCGGTTTCGTCCTAGGGTTTACGAAATCATATGTTGATTTTCAGGATATACGCATGTAAATCAAACAATTGTGTTTGGTTTTATCCGAACGAGAAACAAATCACCTGGTGTTGTTAGTAGGGTTTACGAAATCATATGTTGATTTTCAGGATATACGTATGTAAATCAAACAATTGTGTTTGGTTTTATCCGAACGAGAAACAAATCACCTGGTGTTGTTAGTAGGGTTTTACGGATCTGGAGTTTGTTTTGTTCTCTAATTCTGTGTTTCGATTAGTAGGGACAACTAAGAATCGTATCCGATTGGGTGGGAGTGTGGCCAAAGCCAAGGAAGCGGCCCGAATTGGGAGCCAGTGGACGTTTGCTGCTGATGCTCCGATCCAATCTAGGATTGTGGTTTTTGTTGATATTCTCAGTTCAAAGATGGATGGAGGTGACCCCAAGAATCTTGCCTGGATTGGGAGTGAACTATAACAAGGAAGAATGTTGGGACTCTTCCATACGGGGAAACTCATCAAGGATCAAGCCATAATCAAGGAGGATAACAATTCCGTGAGGTACAATCATCTCATCTGTAAGAGGCTTCTGTTTCTTTTCCCTCTCTCTTTTGTGTATTAGATGGCATAAATTTCCTCCAACTCTGTGCTGTCCTACCTTAAAACGAAGAGAGTTAATTTAGGGTGTGAACAAACTGGGTTTCATCTTAGGAACTTCAATTCAATATCTGTGCTGGTAATCTCTGCTCCTACAAGAGAGCCTTGGATGTATTGGTTCTTGTTATTAGCTTTGCTTGTTGTTCTCTGGATAAGGAGATGCAGGTTGGTCGGGAGATACCTGCAGGATTGTTGTAAAGAGACATGGGTGCCTGACTGTCTGATTTTTGCATCAGTAATCACAATCTGCACCTTTTTTAGGTCTTAAACTTAGATGCTATGATCTGTCAAATTGCATTTAGTTATGCAAGTGCTGACATTCCCTACTGCAGGATATCACCCCAAACGGCAACTACTAATCTTGGTCCAAGAGTCAGGAAGCTCTTCCCTAATTGTCTTCAATTAAGAGCGAAGACTCTATCTCTACTGGAAGTTTATCAATATGTCCACTGTTTTGGGCTTGAGCCTTCTAGCCTCTTGGTTGGGCTTTTACCTTTTCCTTTTTAATTTTAACCCTTTCCTGCTTTTAGCGTAACTGCCTCTCCGATTCTTTGATTTTCAAATCGTCCTCCTCCCCCCATTGAAGATCGCCGGTCATGGCGGTGGAGAAGCATGAGATATAGGCCGACAGGGATTCTTCTAATGGATGGCCCAACAAGATCAGTCCGCGACGGATCGTTCGCAGTATGAGCACCGGTCGCACGGCGTGGATTCTCTCATCTTTTTAGTTTTCAGGTGATTATGCCTCTCCCGCATCTCTTTTTCTTCGCTGATTTTAGATTTTCGATCGTCGGTTGAATTTTTTATTCTACTCGATATCTTTGCTTTCTAAGCTTTTTCCGCCGATTTTCTCTCTGCAATATTTGCCGTGTTTTTTGAAGATATTATCAAGAAAATTCTCCACTGTTTTGTTTGTTCAATTTCCTTTCCCCCGGAACTGAAGAAGAGAATTATGGCCAACCGTCACATTTACTCCCATGTTATGGTGAGAAGTTTGGAGGATTATCAACTGAAGGTAAACAAAACAGAGGCTACGGAAAAGCACCTCCAAACATTTCTTTTGCTTACTGAATCGATCATCCTACTAGATAGATTGATCCAAGAAAACTAAGCCGTAGAGAAAGAATATATACTTGTTGTTGAACGTCGATTTTTAGCAGTCTAAGTCTGACAGTCTCTGTTCTTGTTGCTAATTTTTGTGGATATCTTTTCCTTTGTTTCAATGGCTCGCATTATTTTTGGTGTTACCTGCCAGAGCCGGAGAAATAAGTACGGGAGAATAATCGTGTGCTAACTCTAGAAGGTCAGAGCCTTCTCATTTTGTGTGATAACCACTAATTATTTCTTTTCTAACCACCTTCTATCAATCTCATATGCATTACTTTGGCTGTGCCGCTTTTATGATTCATATTGTGAATGAGAAGCTTAAGTATTACATACCCATCCATTATGCATATATTTTTCGAATTGTTGCATGTTGCTTGTTTTGCAAGACCATTTGGTGTCATGATAATCTTTTTCGAATTTTGTGCCATTGATCGACTTGACTGGCCTATTTAGCTGAGCTCTTTTCAGTTAGCTATCTAGGTTTCTGTGTATGGTTGCCTAGGTGCCTGTCTTTTCCTTTTTGTGTTGATGCAAGCGTCACGCTGGTTGCTTTTATTTTATTTTTTCTAAACTTCTGCAAATGTCGAGTATAACACCAGTCTTTAGTCCTAGTTTAGAGGTGTTGGGATAGGAGCAGTATGTGTTATCAAGGAACAGTTGTTTGGAAAGCTGATGAATGATTATGAGTAATTCTTGCTATGTTATTTAGTTTTGTCTAATTGCGGTAGGATCAGGATGAAGCTGGAATCGGGAACCCATCATGTGCACTTCTTCTTGAGTTTGTGAGGCATGGACCTGGACAGTTATGGATGTCCTTACTTTCGTTTTACTGTTAATATTCTGTGATGGCGTTTGCTCTCAGTTATTAGGCAAGCGGAACTACTCCCATCACACGGATTAATTCTCCGGTGCTTTACCCTTGCATGTCAACTGGCTTTCCCAGGTCACCTAGAGGAGAGGAGCTGGATTAATTCTCCGATGGCTTTCTCGTTTTCATTTTGTGATGTGTTTCATATTTTCTTAGTTAGTGCTCGTTGTAATAAGTTGATCTCATACGTGCTCTGTTTTTTTAATCTCGTCGATGTATCACTGTAAAATAGGGACGGGGGGTCACATAATGTTAACAAAGATGGGATGACGGGTTCCATCGTGATAGCATCGCCGTCGCCTGGGAGGCGTGCCAACAGCCAATAGACTAACTCGCATAACATAAAAAAAAAAAAAAAAGGTTATGACAACGGTACTGAACATAAGTTGCGCCTGAAGCCTCCTGCTTCAAAGACAAACTACTGCGACTCAATTAATGAGTCGGCGCAGGTGATAGGCCGTCGGTGGTCCTCGGTTGGGTTTTCGATTGGCTGCAGGATGTTTGGGCTTCTTTTGGGCCCTTGTTAGACTTTTGTTAAGCCTCACTAAGGTCGTTAATGGGTCTACGACGGAATTATTGGGCCATTTTCGGACGCAGTTGGGCACCTTTTGGAATTTATTGGGTCACTATTGGGCTTCTATTGGACCCTGTTGGGCCATTATAGGGACCCTTTCAGCCTGTTTTGGGCCTGAGTTTTATGACTGTTGACTATACTTACCGTGTGACCATTGCTTGGGTGCTATTTGCACCCATGCTTTTTCGCCGGGGGCATCTTTTGGGCCTCGATGGTTTTGGGGCCACTATTGGGCTGTTGTGGCATTGGTTGGCCCGTTTTCAGGGCTGCTGTTGGGCTTCCACTACGCTCCAGGTGGGGAACTTTTGAGCACATTTTAGGGGCTTATTTGGACCAATCTTATTTATGCATACAGCTTTAACTAAGCGGGCGGAAACGGACCGAAGCTGCTCTATTGTGACACAGAGAGGGGCTTCCGCATGTATTTCTTGGGCCTAGTGGATCTTAACCTTAGTCTAAAAGGGCCTAGCCTTCATTACTGCTATTTTATAGGCAATAGGCATCGATCCGTTGGTAGAGTGGTTGTCCGGATCGATGAAGCCCGTTTTAGCTCTGGTTTACCTGCGAATCTCATTTTGGGCAAACGGTACGTTTTATTTACGTCGGCCTCATGCAACCGTTATTTTCCCCGTCAACTAACTCTTTCGGCGATCCTCAGCGTCCTACTTTTAACTCGCTTCTTCTTATCTGCACAAGACTGAAATAAAAAGCTTGTACCCGGAACAAGTTTCAAAAATCAATGAAGCAAATTACCAAACTACAAGGTAAGATAATTGGCTAAGCTTCGACTTCTCCAACGAAGAAAGACACCTGAGGCTCCTTTTCGCAACCTCCCTGAGGACCACACATGATAAGTCCAATTAGGAAACACTACAAAAAACACACAGCACAACAAGGAGTAGCATGCACACATGATTACTCTCTAGTTAAAAAAAAAAAAAAAAAAGAGCAGGAGCACACGTGTGAGGTTGCACGTGCTTGTATATACAATTCTTGCTTGGTATCATTTCACATCAAAACATTACGATAATTTAAATAGAACCATAGCCAGCTGCGATAATTTAAATAGTCCGTTGATCATTTCACATCAAAACTATCAACCTTTGCAGCTGCGGTATTGCTTTAGAAGTTATCGAAGGAAACAGCTCCAGCTCTTCATAGACAGAACATCAACAGTCTTTTGGGTTGCTGAATGGAAACCGTTAAACATTAGACAGATAATAATGACATGACATACATGACATAGTAAGTAACTATAATAAAGACATAAAAAGAAGTCTTAGTAGTAACGGCCTTTGCCATAGTCATACGACTCTATTACACCAAATTTTCATGTATAACCTGTAAATCCGATACTAATGAGCTTTACCCAAAAAAAAAGCTAATACTAAAGAGAGGAAGTTCAAAATCAAGAAGAAAACTCACTCATCCATGTTCATTGTCCATATAACCTCAGGGTAGGGGAGCAAGAGAATTGGTGTGCACAAACATCCTAGAACATCAATAACAAGCTTGTATTCCTTCACATAGACACCCACCACAAACATGGGAAGGGGGGGATTACTCTCCTTAGCATTGCCCTACATAGAGTTCTAACAAATAATTAATTCAGCCAAAATTGACTAATTTTCGTAGGTGTTAGTTCAAAACTTCTGCAACGAGTAAATAACAAGGGGAACCTTGGAAAACCTTTAAACTTGCATACTTATCTGCTTTTATATTAGCAGAGTCTGTGATAGGTTCATTTAGCTTCCATCCAGATAACACATGTAGCTATGCCTAACCAGAACTAAAATTAATCTAAGTACATATATTTTTTGTTCTACAAGCTAACAAAGGGCGAAACCACCAACGGGAACAGATAGCAATTTTCCAAAAAGTTGAATATGTAACAATACAGCTAGATTTCATTCCCTTGTTCATATTGATGAAAACGTTAAGCAAAACGGAAAATTATAAGAGCAACAAACCTTTAAGGGAGCAGCAGCTCTGTCTTTCTCCATAAACACTCCAGTGAACTCCACCATAAAATCAACACCAATTGAAATATTGAAACATGTCTTTTACAAGCTTCACCGATAGGTGGTTTGCATATACAATATACCCTGATTCCAGAATTGGAAATAAATTTACAGAAAATATTTTATTTACACAAACAAATGCATGATTTCTTGGAATTTTGCAGTGTTGTTTCACCTTTTTTCACAAATTGGCAAATCAATAGAAAACTATTCGTAAAACACCAACTAGATGAGCACAGATATACACCACCGTTTCTAGATTTTAGATACTTCCAGGCCGATTTGATAGTCAACTTTAAAAGACATCATCCAACAGATATGTCTCCTCACTCACTTTTAACTAATGCTGAGCGTTTCTCCAATTCCACAGGGTTTATTACGGAAAACATCAGTCTCATGCCTTCATTTCTTAATCCTTTTCACCAGTATCTGCAATGAGGAGTATCAACGACTCAGGGCTCATTAGAGGAGAGCTGATGGTGCAGTTCCACAGATCTTAGTGCAGACTCTTCACTATCGTTTGTTTCTTGAATAAGAGGAACCGGCGGATTTATGTTCCAAGGACATTTTAACTAATATATACATATCTTGACAATGCATAGAGACCTATAAAAGTAGGCATATTCCCTCACGTTCCATTTAAATGTAACACAATTCCACAAATCAGACTTTGAATCTGGTCTGCGGCGCAATGTGACATAACCAGAAGAGATGGCAAGAATTACTCAAAACCTTTCACTATCTTTAGATTTAGAAAGAACTAAGTCTTGAGAACATACTGCTGCTAGTGACACCAATCAAGGACCTAGATAGCTTGGAGTTACAGAGAGATAAAGCCTGGAGTTAAAGAAAGAAAAACAGGCAGAGCCTGCATCATATCAAAAGGGAAAGGATGATAGACAGTTAAGAGGCCAATGGCAGAATGAAGTTCCAGGGAGGTCAATCAATAGTTAGTTATCTTATAAAATCTGGAAGAAGCTAGCATCACACCTGAGTCCACAAATCATTTGCCATAAGGAGACCCATGAACTAGAAACTTGTCAGAAAAGAAAGTTTAAAAGGAAACGAAAGATGAAAAAGACTTACCTCCAATTCTACAGTAGAGCCACATTGTGACGAACCAAAGAAACTGAACCTAACATCAAACTGAAACCGCTAAAGTCATCGGCATTTCCTTCCCATTCTTCCCGGTAAACGTACGACAAAGAACGCAGAGAGCAGATGAGCAAAAACATTTCCCAAGTAGTTGCGAGAAAACGAAAAATGGAACGAAGCCGCCTAGATTTCAAACAGATTAAGAAATTCGAAAGATCAAAGCAGGAGGGTGAAGATACCTACGATCCTAAGCGCTCCCTCGGAAAACTGGTATTGTTGTTCCGGTGCAAGGATTGACCGATCGGAGATGAATGGCCGGGCTTCGATCGAAGGGGTTTGGATCCCCAGATGAAACCCTAGTACGATGGAAAAAGAAAAGGCGGTGATTATTAGGACGGGGATAGATAGGAAGTTTCGAGTACTGGCCGAGGATGGGCACATGCGTGTTCTTTACTTACCATGGGCTTACATTTTTGGGGCAACTTGGGTATTTAGTGGGCCTTTTGTTCAGCATCCACAACAAACTGCAAATAATGTTGTATCCAAACCACCTGCAAAATGACACGATTCTAACAGTAACATATTATCGAGTAAGCGAACGAAGGATGATGGAAAACGAATAAAGATGAGTGAAGCGTGGGAGACCACGCAACCCTCCCTCCCTTCCTTCCTGTAGCAATAATTAATTCAATACAATTCAGGAAGCCCCCCCATCAATTCTCTTCCAACGAAATACTAAAACGACGAAGACTCGACATTGACAGCCCGACGTTTAATAATAATAACAATTGAGAAATTAAATTACCAAGAACAATCGGATTGTATCGTGAAGAAGAGGTCAACCTAGTAAAGTCAACATCCGTGCTGGCTTTCTCTTCCCACGCAAGTTCTTTGCAACTACAAATATGATTGGGACTGACTCCAACATCACATTCCCCAAGTTTGTGCAATCATGGGAACCCCAATTCCTCCAAACAAAAGCCTCGCCCCACCCCAGGTAGTAAAATTCGTTCACGCTGATATATATAATATAGATGCCCAACATGCATATTCATAGGAAGCTGTGGTTCTTCAGGGGGGATGATGCTCCATCTCTTTTTAACTATACAGAAGAAAATCATAAATCTAAGCTTTCAAAAGTAGATGCAGGATGATGACTTACCTGATCTGGAAGATTGGCTTCCCATCACAGCGTCAAGAAACGCCAAATGGTACTATTCCGCTTTCCACAACGTCACTGCTATGGTTGGTGCCGGCGTTCTTGGTCTCCCCTATGCCATGTCCGAGCTTGGATGGTATGTCTATGTTACTCCCTTCCTTCTTTATATCCACGGGCATCATGATCATGCAAACACGTACCATCTTCTTGCGTTAGCTTCACCGCCTAAATCTAACCCTGACAAGCACGGGAAATAAGAACAAATTTTAGGGAGTTTCTTCGCTTGATGTTTTCAGGGGGCCCGGAGTTGTGGTGCTGGTCCTGTCATGGGTCATCACATTATACACCCTCTGGCAGATGATTGAGATGCATGAAATGTTTGAAGGGAGACGGTTTGACAGGTACCATGAGCTTGGTCAGGCAGCCTTTGGCAGAAAGCGTGGATTGTACATCATTGTGCCCCAACAGCTTCTCGTTGAAATCAGTGTCTGCATAGTCTACATGGTGACAGGGGGCCAATCACTGAAGCAGGTCCACGACCTCGCTCTTGGTAATAGATGCGGAAAGATCTCTATTCGATGTTTCATTTTAATCTTTGCCTCGTCCCAGTTTGTACTCTCCCAGCTAAAGAACTTCAACTCCATTTCGGGTGTCTCTTTAGTTGCTGCGGCCATGTCACTGAGGTAAGCTAATCTTCCTTTGAAATCTTCTGCAAAGTTAAGGTGGAGAACCAAAATCAGTCACTGAAGAAAACACAACAATTAACTTTGCTAACCATATCACACAGCTATTCCACAATTTCCTGGATAGTTTCAGCAGAAAAGGGTGTGCAGAAAGATGTAAACTACAGCTACAAAAGCAGAACCTATGCAGTGCCATTGGACTTTTTCAGTGCCTTGGGCGAGATGGCTTTTGCTTACGCAGGCCACAATGTAGTTCTGGAAATCCAAGCAACAATGCCATCTACACCAGAGAGACCATCAAAACGACCCATGTGGAAGGGTGCGGTTGTAGCTTATATTATTGTTGCTATCTGCTACTTCCCTGTCGCTCTTGTAGGGTATCGGGTCTTTGGAAACAGCATTGCAGAAAATATCCTCACAACACTTAAGAAACCCAAGTCTGTTATGATTTTGGCTAACATGCTTGTGGTTATACATCTCTTGGGAAGCTACCAGGTAGGTATATCAGAAAACCTCTCGGCCACCTTTTCAATTATAGAATGAAACACAAAATCTAAAACTCTGGTGACTTGTCTAGGTGTACGCAATGCCAGTTTTTGACATGGTTGAATCTGTCATGACAAAGAAATGGCATTTCAAGCCAACCAGAATTCTACGCGGCTTTATACGCTGCACTTTCGTGGGTAAGTAAAGAAAGAAATTTCAGCGAAAAAACCAGCAGTGAGTCATTGACCTCTTTTCCGCAGCTTTTACAATGGGCGTTGCTGTTGCTTTCCCATACTTCAGCGCATTGTTGTCATTTTTTGGAGGATTCGTGTTTGCCCCGACCTCATACTTTGTAAGCCACCTTCCGCTCCTATGCTGTCCATGCCAATGCACAAGTTAATCAGGAGAAAAATCTTCAACACATATAATCTTCTTTACTATTTGCACCTCAGATCCCTTGCATCATTTGGTTGATCCTAAAGAAACCACGGAAATTTAGTCTGTCTTGGTGGACAAACTGGGTAAGTCTAGCTTTCCCCTGCATTTAACAGAGTAAGTTCCATCTTATCAACCTATCTAATACAAGCAATCATTTTCAGATCTGCATCGCTCTCGGGGTTCTCCTGATGATCATGGCACCTATTGGAGGACTGGCGAAACTAATCTATCAAGTTCAAAATGATAAACTACCCAACAGCAATTGCAATAACTAAATCACTAGCAGGCTTCCCAGGGTGGCCATCCATTTCTATTGTTGATCAAAAAACATTTCTCTAGATCAGGTAAGATTTTCTTTATGGGACACAGATGCTTCTGTATTGGTTGTATAAACACAATTTGCACGAGAATTATCCGCTTACATCTTTATGAACAAAGTATGTTAATTACAAAGATAAGAGAAGTGCCCAAGGGTAACTAAACGAAAATCTTTGAAGATTATACAGAGAAAAAAATGGCGTACCCTCCCTCTCTACGCATAACGTTGTTGAGAAAATCCAAAAAACTTGAGGGCAACCAAGCCTGAAAAGATGCGATCCAAAATGGTCGTTCCACTTGATCATGTAATTCATGGATCTTTCATCGGTTGGTTTCTGCGCAAACTTTTCTTCAGATTGATTGGGCCAGACTGGTCAAATGCGACCAAAAATCCCCAAACTCGATAACTCAGCATGACTTGAGTCAAAAATTAATGCTGGGATAGAGGGTTATTTGGCACTCCGGCTACAGGATGTTCTGGCATCATCAATTCGAGCATTGATATACAAGAAATGTCAGTAATATCCAAACATATTTTGAGGGGTTCTCGTGGTTCATGACTATCTATTCACCTATTTCCATGTATATAAATAGTGAAAACAGATGCAGAAGTGAACGTACCAGTTTCCTCTGTGAAATTATTACAGATAAAATGGTTAAGTCGAATAACGGGAAGCGCCTTTGTAAGAAGACTTAGATCAGGAGGATATGCACCTCCATTAGAGAGTCTAGCAGCTGCTTCATTACCAGGACGAGTGAACATCTCTCCCTCAACCACCTCAATCTCAAACCGTTGTAAGCAACACCAACCAAATCAAGACACGAGATTAGAGACAGAGAAACGCACTTGCTGGACGAATCCTGGTCATATAAGAATTTCGCACACCTCGGAAATCCAGTGACACCCTAGCTCTTAAAAAAAAAAAGATTAGAATGTAATATTTGGAACGATAGACGATTCACTCTCTCTCGAAGATATTAAAAAAAAAAAATCAACATCATGGAGGTCAAAAGAAGGAAGGAAACAGCAGCAGAAAAACGATCGGGCAGCAGGAGAGAGCAGAAGAAGCAAGATGATGGAATGGAAACCTTGGTGGGCCAATTGCAAGGCCCAATATTGAAATGCACACTCAAGACAAAAACAGTGATTAAATTGAGGGTGGTCCATTGGGCCTCTTAATTAACAAACAGATATATAAAAATATAATTAAGGAAAACAAATCTCTAGTTGGATGGGGGGGGGGGAGGGGTTTCTTTCTTCTTTTTCTATGTACAAAACTGATGTTCTGTTTTTAGTCCCCACCACAGATAGCAAGTCGGGTGACAAGTCTGATACCCCTAACCCACATCTCGGCAGCCGCCACACCCCCTTCGCACTCAAAATGGAACTCCTTGTTCTCTGTCGTCACCACCCTGAACACTCCTCTCCCTTCCTCTTCCTTCTTCCCCTTCCTGTTCCTCCTGAACTTTGGGCTTCCCCCTACTTCCACTTGCTTGCACACCACGTTTCTCTTCCCTGACTTCCCCCAGCTTAGCACTCCCCTTCCTTCCTCCATTCTCAACTCCTTCCTATGTGCCTTTCCCTTCCCTCCCTTTGTGTGCTTCCTCACTTCCCCTCCCTCCTTCACCTTCCTCCTCGCTACCTCATCCTTTATCGCTCTCTCCGCTTCTCCCCTCGCCATCGTTACCGCTGTCTCCCCTCTTCCGTTCTCTTCCTCCCACTTTGCTCCCCGTCCTATCAGGAACTCACACACTTGTCCATGCCCTTCTTTTGCCGCCAGCATCAGCGGAGTGTACCCTTCCCCGTCTGGGACATTCACCCCGTACCCTTTCCCCGTCAACAGCTCCGCTGCTTTCACATCTCCTCTGCGTGCTGCACAGTGCAACGCATAGAACCCTCCCTCCGCCTCGTCATTCCCCTTCTCCTTCTCCAGCGCGTACTCCAGCATCACTCTCTCCATCTCGTCTCTCTTTCCATTCATTTCGGACAGAGAAACCGCCGTCTCTCCTAATCTGCTCAACAGCTTCACATTTGCTCCTGCGTACACTATCACCCTGAAGGCTTCAATGTGACCCTTCATTGCTGCTAACATTGCCGCTGTCCGTCCATCTTCATCTTGATAATCCATGTCAGTTCCTTCATCCTTTATCAGAAGAGATTTCAGCGCCTCTGCATCTCCAGCTTTAGCTGCAAACAGCAATGGTGAAAACACTGAACCGTTGCTCGAATTTGGGATCACTCCATATCGGATCAGATCTGAAACAACTCTTTCAAATCCTATAGACCACTTGTTTGATCCAGCAATTGATGCCGCGGATTGACCTGATTTGTTCACTAAGCCAAAATCAGCACCTGCCATGGCTAGAGTCTTCACACAATCTCCGTGTGTGTTTCTAGTGGAGATCATCAGGGCTGTATCCCCAGCTTCAGTCCTCGAGTTTATATTGCATCCATAGCTAACTAAAAGTTGAATAATCTCAGTTGCACCATTCTGCGCTGCAATGTGGATGGCGCGGAGTTCAGTGTTTCCCAGGGTTTTGATAGGAGTTTCTGGACAGGTGCCACATTCGAGGAGGACCCTGATGGCCCCCGCATTTCCACATAAAATGGCATGGTGGAGGAGAGTTCGGCCGCGGTGGGGAGCATTTGAATTATGGAGTTCCAAGAGCGAGCGCAAAATAGAGCCACTGGTTTCGAAATATTCTACAGCACACCAGGTGAGAGGGTAAGGCTCGGCCAGTCCGGCCCCCACCCGGATTTCTTCTCCTGTGTTTGAGTCCCAAGCCCAGGCTCCAAGCCTCACCATGATGTCTGTCCGCGCTCCAGCCTGCAGAGATCATTAGAAGACAGGTTTCGATGTCTTAGATACGCCAGAATCTCAGTGAATTGAGGTACATTTCCGCATTCCTCTCGTAGTATAAGGTTTAGGATTTTATAAATCCGACTGAGATTATCTATTACAGATTGGGAGACCAAAAGTGTAAAAGAAGCTTTGATCCGAAGTTCCCAGGCAAGAGAAAAGCACCTGTAACAGTACACGGACGGCAGAGACCTGCCTATTGACAATGGCAGCAACAAGCGCCGTACAGTCCACATTTGTGTAAAGAGAAGGCTTTGAAGATTGGAGCAGAAGCCTGTCGTTTGAATTTGCATCTACTCCAAACTGCATAAAGCATGAACAGAGTTGTTTTTTATAAGATGGCATTGAACAAGTTTACCTCTATGTGATCTGACAAAAAGAAAAGGCACAACTAACTCGATGCCTTACTTTGAGTAAGACCCCCACGACGTCCACAAAGCCCCTGCAACAGGCTGTGGCAAGAGCGTGCACAGCAACCTGAGGCCGAATAAGATCAGTTCCCATCAGTAATTCAGTGAATCTTGCCCTTCCGTGACAGCTTGCTTCAACCAGAGATTCCTCGCAAGCGGGCTGAGACGCACCAGCTTTGAGTAGGACCTCAAGTACCTCCAAATGGCCTTCCCTTACAGCTACAGTTGTTGCAAAGCCCCTGAACAGCTTCTGGTTCACATCAGCTCCAATACTCTGTAATTTGTTGTATTAAACTAAAGATCAGCTCATCGTTAACATTCTGAAGTTTTTTTTACTCATGAATGCTTAGAATTCCATGTGGGTTAAATCAGAGCTAGAAAAGACAAAAAAAAAAACTGCACATGATAGTATGTTCTACAATAATTCAATTGAATAATTGAGTTGATCTACACGAGGGAACAACACTGACGCAGAAGAGCATGGCTTTTCCGCAGTGCATCTGATTATCTAAAAGGAAAGAAGGGAAGTATATGTAAATATAGTATTCATGTACTCCAGATGCAGACAGTGACAACACAATATGGGGGACCTCAGGTTATGTTTCTACTTCAACAAACAAGCTACATGGTGAACATAAACAGTTCTTGTCGTACTATGTATCATCAGTTTCTTTTACTGGATCAGAGAATCAAATCAAATCAATCAATTATGGCCTCAAACAAAATGCGGATATTTCAATATCTTTTGTCTCAAAATCAAGCAATGGAAGCAACCAGTCTAGCATTTTCCAGATTTATGGCTAAATAACTCGGCAGATTACGGATATTAAGTGCAAACCTGGCATTCAGGTAGTAGAGCAATATAATTATCAAACCGAAACTGTTCTATAAATACACACGCACATGTTGTAATTAATCGTACTTGCAATCAGAAGGTACAATCAGAGTCTGTAGAAACTAGCATTTAGCAAATCTTTAGAGGTACTTCACTTCAATTCTGGAAATGGTACCCGCCTCTGCCTAATGTGTAAACCTGGTTCTGTATCTTAAGAAATTGATTCGGTAAAAGATGCGAAACTTCTAATTTCTAAACATGTTTCGCTCCACGAGTACAATTTATGCAACTAACTGATTACGCATAAGATTTCCCACGAATTCCGATCCAGGTAACACACATCCTACAGTGTTGACTTATACTTGTCCTGACTTTTATCATCGTTTTCAGGGAACTGGAGAGAAAATTAGCCAAACGATGTTTTCAGAAAAATGAAATTGAGAAGAATATGCAGAAACGCTTCTGGTAATGAAAACAAGAAACATTCGAAATTTGAATTTTGAAAAGATGTGATAAGAAGCAGACTGAGACAGACATCTTTCAAACCTTTATTTTAAGGGACAGAAAGGTGGGGAAATCACGACTGAGAACATCAGTTAGCAGAAATGCGAGAAAATAAACGGAAGAGGAAATCACGAGGAAAACGGTTCTCCATTGATAGCGACCTCCATTAGCGGGACGCAATCATGAGTTTAAATTACCCAGACGAGCTAGATCTGTGTGATAAAAAAGAAAAGAAAAAACTAATTCTACCCGAAGAAAATATAGGCAAATATACGATTGTTCGTGCATATTTCTGGAAAATAACGGTGAACGGGACATTAATATCAGAGAAATCATTTAGAAATGAACGCAGATTTGTCGAAACGGTCTCTAAAATCAGCAGAAAACGGCGAGAACACCGATCGAGCAACAAAAGTCAAAAAGAAAAAACGTTCTACAGGCATACAGCTATGATCGCGCTCATCGAAGAATGAGGAGGAATAATTACCAGTAATTTCTTCACGAGAGCCACGTTCCCGGCATTAACGGCGAGGAACAACGCCGTAACATCAGTTTTGAACTCCTCGTATTCAACTCGGATTTCGCTGGCCGATTCATTGCGAAGCACAACGTCGCTCTTCCTCGTCTTCAAGCTGATGGCACCGACGAAATTCACATCGACGAGCGAATCAGCGACGCAAGCCGTTGCTGTTCTCATATCTCCATCGACGAGGGCCTGGAGGAGGCGCTGAGACACCTCGGCCTCGTAGTCGACTGGAACAACTTGCTTGCCGGAGAAAACAGTCATCGTCGGAACTCGATAACCTTCGCGAACGTGAACGCGATGGGCAAGCGTCCCAGCACGAAAGCGTGTTGGCTACAGTAGCAGAGAGAATCGGCTTCTCTCTCTGCAGACGCGAGAGTCGGGGGAGAGGAAACTTGAAAAGAAGTGAGCGCGAGAGAGAGGGAGGAAAGGGGGGGGGGTGAGAATTTAATGAAACGGCTTTTACAGAGAGAATCGAGAGTGGTTAAATGGTAATTACTGAGTATCCGGGAGCATAAATTAAACGAGGTGGCTTGGCTTATGGGTTAAGCAGGTAGGAATCATAACACGATTAGGTAGATTTGGTTACATTATTGTGTTTCTATTATGTAGAATTCAGTGTCCTAAAAAGGAATTTAAATAAAGTAGAGGATTTACGTTGCCTAATAAATGAAGGGAGTATTGTAACAGTAGTCGTGGAGGAGATTTGAGGATACGGAGGGGAGGGAGAATCGAAGTCGGTGGAGACATGAACTTGATGGCCCTCCTCCGACACCAACAGTATTCGATACCATCACACTCTCAGTACTATTTCCCTCATTTTTTTTAATTCCAAAACGTAACATGGATGCCATGATCAAGTAGCCCAGGTCCATGATGATGATTAGCGGTTCTCTTAACAGTACGATAAAATATATATGGTCACGAGTCGATATAAAACAAGTTCTGGGCAGACACATCGCTTTCATATCTGATGTCTTCCTCTACCAACTCGAAGATTTTATCCGTCATCACGTATTCACATATTTTGATTCACTAGGGACGGTTCGTCCTTCAAAGATTGTTAGGCATTTCAATTGAAACTTTTATGGATGGGTCAAACTAACATCGATAGATTTGGATCCGCCACAATGTTCAAAGAAAAATAGATGAAAAGAAATCCCACCGGCTGTACCAATCCGGCCCACCCAACCACAAAAAAAGGGACCCCATACGAAAGAAAAAAAGGTATTGGGCCCAATAAGCTAACGCGTTTTAAATCCTTTCCCCAAAATTCACAGAGCCGTCGACGAGCATCCCGTTCCTAATCATAACAATATCTAAACAAATTGATTTAGTCCCTTCTATACTCCACTGAACTTTTTTATTTACATTTTAATCAAGCGAAACATAATCAAGGCGGCAAAAGAGCCCACCATTTTCTACCATCTTCTTCTTTTTCCCCTTTTTTAAATAAATTAATCTTGAATTTGAAAGACATACATGTATGTTTGCTAAAAGCGTGTAAATGATTTTGGAATTCAAAACATACATTGGCGGCACACCTTCAAAGCTACTTTGTATCGTCTCCCTTTAGTTAACATTATTCATCTGTTTAGATGAGAAACATAATTAATCGATATATATATATATATATAATCAATTATTGCATAGTAAAATAAATTATTCCCATGCCGAAAAATGTTTTATATCAAATCAATAAACAGTTAACATACCAATATAATCATATCCTTTTAGCTCCATATTAATATTGAATTGACATATTTATTTATTTTATATTTAATTATGTATTTTCACCCAACAAAAAGAAAAAAGAACCAACTCAAATAAACCCTTGACAAATAGATGGCCTTTAATGAAGGCCCATATCTAAGATATCGGGCCGAAAACAAACGACACCACGTTTGAATGCCGTTGGATACTATTTTAAATTCCGTCTTGGTCAGAATCTGTCGCTGGATTGTCATAGCCCTCGCGGACAACAATGGCGTCCGCAGATGCAGAAGATAGAGCAAGTAATGCATTAGCTTCTAAAATTATTTGGCCAAACCATAATTTTGTTCCGTCTCTTTCTTACGCTTGTTGATTATTTACTTGTTTGTGTCCTTTTTTTTTGGGTATTTGGTTAGAACCTGAAGCTGTTTCGGGCAAAAGAGTCGCAGTTGTAGGCGCAGGTGTGAGGTAAATTTGAGAATGACTACGTTTCTCCTGAATTACTGTTATGCTGATTGTATTCTGAAACTTTGCTGAGTTCCAGATTTTACTCTCTTTTTTGGCGGATTTTGGGGCTATTGGCTCCGGATTTTTATTCAGCGTAAATTTCAGACAATTCTTGACAAGGGAAATGGGCCCTCAGAGATATGGTATTTGTTGGTTGTATTATCCATGTTTTGAAGTGGTCTTGCGGCGGCTTACAAGTTGAAATCGCGGGGCTTAAATGTGACTGTGTTCGAAGCGGACGGAAGAGTGGGTGGGAAGTTGAGAAGTGTTTCGCATAATGGCTTGCTTTGGGATGAAGGAGCAAACACTATGGTAATTTGTTGTTCGTTTGAGCAGAGTGCACTTGTGAACAATCAGACGCATCTGTTCAACATGATGAGTTTGGTTAGCATTTTGTATTGTCTTTGGACATGGTTGCTTGTGCAGGCTGAAGCTGAGGCAGAAGTTGGGAATTTGCTTGATGATCTTGGCCTCCGTGAGAAGCAACAATATGTAAGGGGATGCGCTATAAGTCACGGCTCTTGTTTTATTTGTTGTTTCTTAACGCTTTCCTGCAAGCTGTCGTCCTTAAGTTGAATAGCAGGCAATATATCTGCTTTGTGTTGTGTTTCTTTTTTCCCATTTAATTAGAGCATTGTCTATCATTCAGCCAATTTCACAGAAAAAACGATATATCGTAAGAAATGGGTCGCCTGTGATGGTACGTCCTGTTTGCTCCCATTGATACTCATTTCTCAATCTTTCGATGTGTCCGTCTAGTTCATGATGGTTATGTGCTCCACGTTTTTTTTTGTCAGATACCCACCAATCCTTTAGCATTGATCACAAGCAACATACTTTCTACCCAATCTAAGGTACACATCTCAGAGTCAGAGTATAAGCAACTGTGAATTTATTAATCTGAAGAAGATTTGTCTTAATGATTATATGATATGTATTACTTCCACTGTCTGTCGCTTTCTAACCCTAAAAGCATAAGTTTTCACTTGCAGCTTCAAATCATATTGGAGCCATTTTTGTGGAAGAAGGGGGCCTCAAAAGTGTCTGATGTATCTTCAGCAGAAAGGTGAATGCAGATCTTTCTTCCTGATCATCCCCAACTTTCCAAATCTCTCTTAAAATTAGAACTGAGTTTTGGTTCCCATTTGTTCCACTGCAGTGTCAGCGGGTTCTTTCAATGCCATTTTGGACAAGAGGTTTGTTTGTAGCAAATCTTAAGTTTGCATATAAAATTCTAGCTCAACCTCAATCAAAGCTTTCTCGTTGTTGGTGTCAGAAGCCCTTTGTCATCGTTTCATGTATCGCTTTTTATATCTTATATGTAAGGTTGTGGATTATCTCATCGACCCTTTTGTTGCTGGAACAAGTGCTGCAGATCCCGATTCCCTTTCAGTGAGTAACTTTAAGCTTAACATGTGGTGTGTTTGTTGTTTAAGTGTATTATTTGTGTTTGTGCTTCTGCCATTCCTCATTTTTATTTTTCTCTTGTGATTGTCAAACAGATGAAGCACTCTTTTCCAGATCTCTGGAATCTAGAAAAAAGGTATTTTTTTTCATGAAGTGATTGTGTGCATCTTTAATCTATTTCAAATCTGTTAGTTGCTAAACTAATGAGATTTTTCTGACCCCAACCAAACTTGTATTTGCATCTTTTTCAGTTTTGGTTCTGTTATAATCGGAGCAATCAGATCAAAGTTTACAGCCAAAGGTGGTAAAAGTGGAGAGACAACAAAATCTCCTGCCAAAAAGAATCGTGGATCATTTTCCTTTAAGGGAGGAATGCAGGTACTGCTTTTCTCGACCAGGGGTCCAGGACCAGACTTTGATACTGCAAATGAGATTTTTGCTCTACTCTACACTCATATTCTTCTGGACCTGTATCTTACTCGTAGACTGATTATGTATTTTGCTTCTGGTATATTACAGACTCTTCCTGATACATTATCCAGAGATCTGTCGCAAAATGAGCTTAAATTAGACACCAAGGTTCTCTCTCTATCTTACGCTCCAAACGGAACTTCAGGAAAGGAGAAGTGGTCCCTGTTTTGTGCCTCGCATCATGAGAAGCAGACACAAAACTTCCATTATGATGCTGTAATCATGACGGTTAGTATTGTTTCTGTGTAATTTGAAGATAAAAATTTTGAAACTTCTCAACTGACAAGAAGTTTCTGTGTCATAGGCCCCTCTGTGTAATGTAAGAGAGATGAAGTTGATGAAAGGAGGACAACCTTTTCAGTTGAACTTTCTTCCCGAGGTAACAATGACTGCAATCTGACTCACCATTAGGAAGTTTCTGTTTTCAATTGGAGTATCTGGATTCATTATTGTTGAGGCTTTGATTTGTATCCATTTGCTGAGTGTGCCACCCACCACCTGAGACTGGTTTAAAGCTGGATATGTTCTCCTTATGACCTTAATTTAAAGTCTTGAGGCTGCGGCAACATCTTTGTGTTAAAGTCCATTATCCGGGTTTCAAAGTGCAAGTTACCATTTTTTAGATTCACAATCCTGTAATAATATCAAAGAAAAGTTTTCATGATCGAAAATCTATCACAATATCACATGCTCATTTTTTCTTGTTCATATTTCAGGTGAATTACATGCCACTGTCAGTCATAATTACCACATTCAGAAAGGAAAATGTGAAGCGGCCTCTGGAAGGTTTTGGGGTACTTGTTCCATCAAAGGAACAAAAGCAGGGTCTCAACACTCTAGGTAACTCACATGTGTTCAAAGCTGTAGTTCAGAATAATTGCCTTTTCACTCTTTTACTTCTACAATTTTGAAATTCCCTCTTCTTCCATACACAGGTACACTCTTTTCTTCAATGATGTTTCCTGATCGTTGCCCCAATGACCTTTATCTATATACAACTTTTATTGGTGGGAGCCGGAACAAGGAACTAGCCAAAGCTTCAACGTAAGGGATTTCTTTACTACAAAATTTTCAGGATGGTCTACGTAGGAACTACTCTGTAACTTTGGATCCCAATTAGTTGTGGCTAGCTCAAGGCTTTGAGCTACGGTCGTAAACTTTTTTATATTACTGAAACTTTAGTCGTTGATCTTTGACTCAGTTTTCTTTGATAGAAAAAGGCAGAATGAAAGTAAAAGGAACTGGGTTTTATGGGCACTGGTTATTTATGCATTGATACTTCTCTCTGGACTGACTCAGTTTCCTTTTGGTGTTAATCTTCATAGGGAGGAACTGAAGCAAGCTGTGACTACTGACCTTCAGCAGCTGTTGGGGGTTGATGGTGAACCTTCATTTGTCAAGTATATGGAACTTCACACTGAAAGAGATTATTTCTTCTGATCCTATTTGCCTATGAAATAAACGACAGGAACCAACTCACGAATGGTATTCTTAATGGCAGCCATTTTTACTGGAGCAAAGCATTCCCACTGTATGATCGTAACTATGACTTGGTTATGGAAGCAATAGACAAGATGGAGAAGGATCTACCTGGATTCTTTTACGCAGGTAACTTCAGCGGGATATTCGATCAACAGTTATGAATTTTGACCCTTCCGAGTGACTATTTATTGCTTGCTGCTACTCTGACTAATGTTCATGTGTCAAAATGAACAGGTAATCATCGAAGTGGGCTTTCTGTAGGCAAATCAATAGCCTCAGGGTGCAAAGCAGCTGATCTCGTCATCTCATACTTGGAGTCCCACTCAGATGGCGAACCAAACAAAGAATAGCCCCTGAGGTATGTTCTTCTGTGTCATCCTTGCTTCATTTTCTCTTTCTCTGTAAAACTTGATGGTGCACAAAACTTGAGATTAATAACTAACTAATTGTTGTACGCCCCCCCCCCCCCCCCACCAC